GCGCTTTGACAATGGCCTGGCGGACAATCGGCTCAGCTGCCGGGTTGCCGAGTCGCCGGGCCGCCGGATACCGGGAGGAAAAATATGGCATTTTCTTACTTATTTTTTCAGGCTGTTTTCGCATATTTTTTGTAACAAAAAAGTTCCAAATTTCTCTCGTGAAGCGCTCTCCGAAACTCAGACGCCCATAAATCGTGAGGAATGCTTTCTCAGCCTCCATTCGCTTCAAGCTCTCGGTATCCCTGGCGGGTTTTCCATTTCCTGCCAGTACGAGATTTACGATGTCAGAGGCTACAGTCACAGAAAAAAGGCCCACAAAGTCGTCTTCTAATGCTGCAAAACCTCGCAAACGTTTTGTGGGCAGCAAGTCCTCTGCTCCCTCAAAGTCGGGTGCTTCGCATGTAGTGGCCAACCAGATACCACAAGAGATTTTGCAGGATTCTCAGCTCAATGCTGCTATGAAGGCCCTTCCGTCGAATTATTCCTTCGAAATTCATAAAACAATCTACCACGTCCGAAAGAACAGCTCGAAGATGGTAGCCTTGCAGATGCCGGAGGGGTTGCAAATGTTTGCCTGCACCATTGCGGACATCATCGAACGGTGAGCAGGTTATTGACACCGGACCTTCTCTGCTGCTGGGTCCTGAATTAACAAAATCTATACAGGTTCACGGATGCACTTACAGTCATCATGGGAGATGTGACTTATGGTGCATGCTGTATTGATGACTACACTGCAGTCGCTTTGGGTTGTGACATGCTTGTACACTATGGACATAGCTGTCTTGGTGAGTATCCCACCTCCCTAGCCTGTAACTACTCAAAGGAGTCTAGTGCCCATGACCGAAACGACGATCAAGACCCTCTATGTCTTCGTCGAGATTGCAATTGACTCGAGTCACCTGGCTCAGACTATCCGTCTCAATTTTTCTACCCACAGAAGACGATTCCATGCACTGCTACTCGACGCGGAAGAGACGGACAGCCAAATCCCGGCAGGCAGGCCCATCGGTCCTGGCCAGCACCTCCAGATAGAAGGTGTAGATGAACCCTCTTCTGCAGAAAGCACAGAAGACCAGGACGCTGTTCTGAAAGCCGTATCATCACCATCAGAGCCAACTCGCCTCGCCCTCGTCTCTACTATCCAGTTCGTGGCAGCACTCGCAAGGCTCAAGGATGATCTCACTACGGAGTGGCTGGACCCGCACGCACAAGGCCCGATGGAAGGCTTGACTCATAGCGAGGGGCTGGGGCTCAAACGATCGAGATTATGGACCGGCAAGTACAACGCAACAATTCCTCGCTCGAAGCCACTGTCCCCGGGAGAGATCCTCGGGTGCACGGCTCCTCATCTAAGCGATGACGTTGACGCACTCATGTATGTTGTCTCATCTTGGCCTCCAACCTCTTCGCCTGACGTGATGACGTACAATCAGCTATCTCGGTGATGGACGTTTCCACCTAGAGTCTATCATGATTGCCAACCCCACAGTGCCTGCCTTCCGGTATGATCCCTATTCGAAGAAGCTCACCCGCGAACGATACAACCACAGCGAAATGCGGGCCGTCCGGCACGAGGCCGTGCAAGCTGCACGACGGAGCATCGACGCCTTCCCATCACTCGAAGATAACGAAGAAGTTGCTCGTCCCTTGAAGGAAGAGCACCCGCTTTGGGGCGTCGTCCTTGGCACGCTTGGCCGCCAGGGCAGCTTCAAGCAGCTACAAGCGATCACACACCAGCTCTCGTCCTCCCGCAAGCCCATCCCATACATGCCGATCCTGCTCTCTGAGCTCTCGCCCGCGAAGCTCGCGTTATTCAGCCCGCATATCTCGACGTTCGTGCAGACATCGTGTCCGCGGCTGTCAATAGATTGGGGGTATGCTTTTGACAAGCCCCTGCTCAGTCCCTATGAAACTGCTGTGGCAGTAGGCAAGGCGGTCGGCTGGATGGAAGAGTGCGATGACGGGAAGACGAAGGAGAGCATTTATCCAATGGATTTCTATGCAGCAGGCACACCTTGGGCAATTTCCAGACAAAGGGCCATGTATTGAATAGTCATAGCGTGTCTCGATCTAGTGATATATGCTCTGGCATGCATTGATCCCGTATCCTCTCCAATTATGCTATTAGCCCCGTAGTTCGAGAAGCAACACAATCCGGGCATTGCGTCATGCCCCCCACTCGGCAATCGGTTGATCGGCTCAGATTATACGCTGGAGGTTTAGGTCAGGTTACAGTATGAGAAGGGATTGCTCTGTATAGGCTCACCCGTAAGCATACTCGACTTCATCGACACCCGCACCAGCCTGGAATGGACCGGACGGCTCCTTCGGCATAGGCCCTAGCTCGGACTCGTCGTCATCTGCGTCAAGCTCGATCGCGCTACTGTCGTCGAGCTCGAAAGGCAGCACAGGGCGTAAGCCATTGCCTGAACTCGAGCGACGACCGCCATGCGGCGACTTGGCCAGGGCAGCCATAGTCTTCGGGCTCATGTGCTAGTAACACGAACATGTCAATGACGTGTCAGCACCTTTGCATGTCACATACCTCCCAATTATTCAAGTTCTCATCGGGAATGTCCTTGTCCTCACGGTCGCGAAGCTCCAGCCGCGCCTCGTCTCCAAGCTCGCCAATAGCCTCGATACTCTCACTGTCGCTGATACTATCCGATATGTCCGATGCCAGCTCGGGAAGGCGGCTCCAAGCGGACATCCCGCCGGAGTAGCCGCCTGGCGAGCCCTGCGAGTCTGACCAGCCAATGTCGGACAAGTACTCCTCATACTCCTCCTCGAATGCGATGTCCTCCGTGACGTACGGCAGAAATATCGTGGGGTCCGGTGCGTGGGCACGGAGTGGTGGGAAAACGTCCACGTCGGTCGTGTTTGGCGTCCCCACCGGCCGGATGATGCCGGACAGCTCGGGACCTGGGTGGAGACCCTCGAGGTGTTGCGAGAGACTCATCGAGCGGCGGTGTCCACCAGTGGAATGTTGCGGCGCAGCGGCGCCGTATCGCTTTGTGTTGTCTGGCGTGTACAGCCGTCAGTGCTAGATCAACAGTTACAGATGTGCGAAGCACGCACAGAACTTGACGAGGTGTCGCAAGGCTTGTTCCTGCGCCTGTGCAACTATTACCGATGTGTCCGGCGATTACTGGTGGACATTACTTACTTGTGAATCTGAGACATCATCAACTTCAATTCCAGTCAACCATTCGTCGCGGAGATCGGGACGGCAATTGAGATACACAGAGGTGATGACCTGCATGTTGGCTGCGCGGGATAGTCAAGGTATAGTTTCGGCGGCGATGTGCAAAATATACGCACACTGCCTCCACTTTCGCCCACAGAAAGGAACTTGACTTTTGATCAGCTTAAGTACATGCAGCTGCAGCATCGGATGCTGCACTTTCAAGATACGTTTGAGGACAGCCTATCATGTGAATCAGCGTTAACCGACACAGGTGTCAGCTTGAACGGAAATGGCTCACTGAGCTCTTGTACTGGACAAGCATTCGTATCCGGTGTGAGCGGTGCTTGGACAGCTTCTGCATAATCTTAGCGAAGTTGATCGTGGAGAAAAAGTTCCGCCAGGAAAAGTCAGTTAACAAATCGACCTCTTCTTCGCGTTTCTCGCCGCTGGGAAGCGTCGTCACTCTGGTAATAGTTTGTCTTGGCGCTTTGAGCATGTCATCTTCCGGCCGAGTCTGTTGCGGGTTGCTGGAGAAATGTAGCTGACAAAAGCGGAAGAAACTACAAACAGAGTTATCGTAAGCGAAAAGAAGCATGTATATGCCCCGAGTCCTTACTTGTTGTCTGATGCGTCGGCTTTCGACACCACGGTTGTAGCAACCTCTTGCAGCCCAAACATCTTCAAAATTAGTAACAGACAGTTGGTGTCCAAGAGGATCTGACCCAGGTGATGGAATTTCATCACATCTGTTTGGGATTAGGACATTGACGGATACCGAGAGACCACAATCGAACTCACGGGAGACCTTGAACCATTTCAGCGTGAGAAGCAAGATCGCGGAGACCGCCTTGGAAGTGATTTCTCGATGTCGCGTCACGTCGATGTCATCTAAACTTGGCGGAGGCGGCGGAGGGCCATCAAGAGCTGACCGGTCACCGCATGTCAGTCCTATTACACGACTAAGCGACGCTGACGGCCTGCTTACGTGACGAGACGCCTGGTGGAAAGCCGCCGTTAGGCTGCTGAGCGCTGCCCGCCGAAGCGGTCACTGTTGCCAGGAGTAACTTGAGTAAAACTAGGACCCAACCAGACAGCACGGGCAGTACTGCGCTCTGTGGAGGAATCCCGCGTTAAACGAGAAGAGCGTAGCCGTGGTACAAGTAGATGGACGTACGTATATTTGTTCCACACGTTTCAGGCGCATAAGATCCTCCTTCCTCTCTTTTGCCTTCCTCTTCTCCGCAGATGTCTCAGCCTTCGCCATAACTCCTTCGGCCGCCGCAATCATGGAGTCCAGATGGGCGATATCCGGCAAGGTTTCGGAGGCTTCGTCATCCTGTATGCCGACGCCGCAAAAGTTGTGTCAGTGCGCAGGCAGTAGAGCCCAGACTGCTTGGAGACGCACGCTAGGCGCCACCTTCGGCTCGAAGACTCTTTCGGTCCCGGGCATTCGTTGAAGTCCGCTTTCGGCCGTCATGCATTCTTCCCTAGTTCGCCACATCTGCCACAGCGCCAAGCTAACATACATGTGCTTGTGGTAGAGATTGTCCGCCTCATCGATGGCGTAAGGAACCAGTGAGTTACCTCGTCGACGCGCCCAGGTACTCCTCGAAAAGGGAAACAAGAACGGTCTTGCCTGGTCCGTCTGGAACTGCTGTTTCTTAGGTTTTGGCGACGGTGGAGGGGTTGGCGCAGGTGTCGCAGGCTGAGGGATCCTGTATCCGGAGCCGGCTTGGTTTGGATGATACGGCGGGCCATGCGGATGCCCAACGGGCAGCCCAGGATGGGAAGTTTCCGATTCGTCATGCTCATAATGGTGTCGAACGGGTATCGGAGAGTACGCTTCCGCAAGCTTCGACGTGCGCACAGGAGTTGGAGCTAGAACCTGGTCCAGGTCAGAATGCTGCTTGTGAGGAGCGAATGTCGGATATTTGACGGAGATCTCTTGGTGGAACGCCTCAATGTCTAGTGGAGATGCCTTTATTGGTATAGCTGCGGCGATGATTAGTCAATATCCTGGAAGACCGCAGAGTATGAATCACGTGCAACCTTCATCAGGGACGGGACCAAGTCCAGCTAGCTCCCGGGTAAGCTTCTTGACTCGGGCAAGCTCACGAATGCCCCCGCAGCAAGTGAGGATTGACTTCCATAAAACGAGTAGGAGCTTTGATAGTATTAGCGCGCCGCTATCGAGATCGGTGATGTCATGTGAGGCGTACCTTCTTCACGGGGTATCCTTTGGCGCTCTTATCTTTGAGACCAGCGACCACGTTGAAGAGGTACACAGGCAGAGGTGGTTCTAGACTCACTGCGACTCCAGTGAGCAGACGACCTCACTTCGGGAGCGGCAGATACCTACTCAATTCGTCCGCGAAATCGTCATGACCTTTGAAGACTTCCACCATGTGGTACAGCATGCCCAGATAGACAGAAAGTTCCGTCGTGACCTCTTCCATGAAGTCAGCTTTCTCTTGCACAGAGATGTTAAAATGCGCGGCGTCCTGGTCTGAGAGACTACTGAAGACAGAAGTAACGCCAGCTTCAGCAATTGTCGCCGTTTAGAAACAGTATGAAGATACCATAGAAGATCGTGCTTTGAACATGCTATCTTCATGGCCTCGACAATATCGCTGACACCATTGGCGGCCCGAACCGCTTTGCAGTTCTCGACAATCCAATGCAACTGATGTTCAGGCGACGATGTCTCCGCGAAAGTACCTAGTTAAGTGAGCAGTGCATTTACACGCCATGAATTGCACGCGCACCTTGAAGGACATATAACAGCCTCCGAGCGTTGGTAAATCTGAACTCGGCATCTCGATGTTCGAGACCTTCCAGTAAACGTTCCACGTGCGATTTCCTTTGGCTGAACGTGCTGTCTATCCACTCTGAAGTTAATGGGAGCGACATAGTTAGATTCGCAGAGATGGAAAAGCCGGCTAGACTCACTCCCCGGAAAAGACCCCTCCCATGCCCTAAGGTTCTCTGCTACCTGTGGCATTTCCACGTAAGAGTAGAACTCCTCGATCTCGTTCAACACGGTGTCTTCATCGTCGTAACGAAAGTCATAATACGATTGCTACTTTCTCGATCGGGTATTAGGATAACCTGCATTTGAATATGGACAGGCTAGACATGCCTTTGGCTTCGGGGCAGAGCCTACCATAGCCCTGAGCTGGCCAAGCGTAATCGAATCTAGGTTCACTTGCTAACCCGGAGCTCTTTCATGAGCCTTGAAAGAGATGGCAACAGCTGAGCTCGTACCATCTCTTGCTTGACCTTCGAACGTAGGCGAGGTTGTGGGGCGTAGATATGCGTTCGTGGCAGTCGCGTATCAGCACTACGTAATTTATACACACACTGTTACGTGAAATCGGCAACGATGCAGCGTACAGGGGAAAGAGCGAAAGAGAGGCTCATGAAAGTTGCGCGTCATGTCTCGCGCAGGGGCGTGTCCGCCGGCGCTTCTACCACAAACGCTGAATTTAGCGCCAGCATTGTGGCTTGACGCCAGAATTTCTGAAAGCTTTATAACTTTCAAGAATTCTAGAGTCAAAGCCTTTCTGGGTTGGATGTCTACCAATGTTCTCAAAGGAGAGAGCTCGCCGTGTCATATGTAGATTGTACGTGAGACGGTATATATGAGCATTTATGGCTGGCCGTGGGTCGATGCACTCCCAGTCTCCCACCGCCCCAGAGTTGGCCGCGAGAGGTTATACGGAGTATCTCACGGTAGTACACTCTTGCCGCTCCGTTATTTTAATAAACAAAAAAAACTGTACGCTCGCTCGCCGACTTGAGACATAGACACCTCCGTAAGTGCGAGACGACGGGTCTTGCGGTGCCTGGGGAAATGACCCCAAAACGCATGAGGCCGAAAATGGTAGGGGGTGCGCTGGTCCCCCAGGGGATGGTGATAAGCGTGCGGCATGAGCAGCCGCGTGTGCGTCGTTGAGTCTGCGCACTCCGCAGACCGTACGTCGAGTCATGTTGAATAAGACGATGAACAGATAGGGTCGATGGGGCCGATATGGCGTGTGCAACTCAGGTTGTTGCGGGAGCGGCACCGAGAGACCAGCCCGTGGGACCGGCAGACCAGGGGCCTCAGGGGTCCAAACGGCCGGGTCAAGTGGCCTGGAGACCGTTCGAGCGCTTGACGTAAGCATGTGCGCGAGGGGAAAAGAGACGGTTCAAAAATTCTGAGTCCTCCAGGCTTTCTCGCCAGTCACCACCTCGAAGGATCGACCCTCCCCTCGACAAGCCCGTCGAGTCGATCCCCTCGTTGCCTGTTCCCACCTTCTCCTCCTCGACGACGAAGACGACGACAGCGGCGACCCGACAGGAGAGGGCGTTCATTCTCCTCTAACTCCCCCCGACAACAGCGATTCTCTCTGCCCGGTCGGAGACGAACCTGCTCATCGGCCTCTTTGGTTCAACTGGGCCATCGTTCATCAAGGCCACCAAGAGCCCCGATCTCTGCCCCTCGCTTGAGTGATCGTTGTCGACAAAAGGCACGCCTTTGCTGTGCGTTCGCCACAGGACTCTGTCTATCCTGCCATTTTCGTCTCTGCCAGTCTCGGTTCCTGTTTGTATCACGACCTACTTTACGACCGGCTTTCCTATCCCACCGTCCCTCGACATCCTCGCAAGCGCAGTTCAGAGTCAGCGGCGGGCACAACCTCCCTCGTTAATTCTGCGCAACTCGCGACCGGCTTCTACAGCCTCTAATTCGCAGATGCCAGTTCCCGTTCCCGTTTACACAAAGCCGCCAGCGCATCCCGTCATCAAGAGCAATCGTGCTCAAGCAGGAGATCCCAATCTCGTGCGCTCTTCTGTCTTTCAATCTTTGACGAACTCGCTCCCGCTGCCCCCGCAGGGGCCTCCCCCGGCGTTCGCGTCGAGGGAAGAGTGGATCAGCTCTCTCCCCTCTTGGCGGAGAAACAAGCCACGCAGAATCTGGGAAGAAGACATTCGTGACTCGAGCAGGCAGGGTTTTCGCGAAGGGTTGGCTGTAGCGGGCAACGCTGCGGCCAGTAAAGGAGCGCCAGCGCAAGCAGGTATTCCGCCCGTCTCGACTCTGCTCGCCAGTACAGACAACATCAATCGCTCAACCGCTCAAGTTATGTACGAATCTCTCGATGAAAACGTGGATGACGCGATAAGTTCAGCCGACTCCGTGCTCGGATGGCACGGTGAAGATACTGCGCAGTACACTGACGATGGGGACATGAGCATGGAGCTAGTCTCCGACTCTGGTTCTATCGCGTGTACCACGGGCTCTTCTCGTAGAATGCACACCGATGAAGACCTGTACTTCGACAGCTCGTATCCCGCCAACTACGAGCGTGGCGCTTTCAGTCCCGTATACGAGGAGTCCTCTCCCGAGCGCGACGTGGGCTCCAGTCCTGTCGGCCCTAACACGCCTTTCGGCGACTACGTCGACCGCGCCGTGGCCTCTCAAGCTGTGCCCACTCACCACGTTTCCGCCGACCCCGCTCCACAGCCGCAGTACGCCTATACTGATGACTATTGTCACGCACAGTGTTACCAATGTCAGCACTTTGCCTCTGCGGAGCATGTCATTCAACAAGCACCTCCGGCTCCCGAGCCTGTTCAGACTCCGACAGCAAGTGCCACGTACAAGAAACTTGCCGAGCCGCTCGCGGACTGGGTCGCCAACTTCGTCTGGAAAGTGTGCACTACTGGTCTGAGCATGTCTCCGAAGTATGCCCAACCTGAGTGCGTGTGCGTTTACCCCGTCTGTTCGGAGATTGCTAATGCCCCGTCATCTAGCGCATACCCCACCAAGCGCTACTCCAGCCAACCTCCGAGCCATCTCGCCCGCTCGACGCACTCCATGTTGTTGTCTACGCTTCTGCAACCTTCGGCAGTCTTCCTGGCGATGTGGTACATTGTTCGCCTCCCTGTCTTCTTCGGCCCTGTCAACCTTGGGCCTGGCGATGTTCGGGAAATGCGCTTCCGTGCCGAATTGCTTGGCGAGCCGCACATGCCGCTCGATCGGGACGCTATCGAGTCCTTCGTCCCTTTCAGACTCGTCTTGCTCGGCTGTATGCTGGCAAATAAGTGGTTAGATGACCACACCTTCTCCAACAAGACCTGGTGCGCGATGTATTCTGGTTGTCCTGTGCAAGATCATATGCTGATATCGAGAAATAGGCACACGATTTCGAACGTCCCCGTTCGCTCGCTGAATAAGCTAGAGTCGCTCGCCTTGGACATCTTCGGGCACGACCTGTCCATACCTTCTCGGGAGTGGTCCCTGTGGCTGACGAAGATTCAGAGCTATCACGCGTCATTGTCGTCCCCAGCTTTTCCTCAGCCTATCTCCCGGCCGTCGTCTAGTCCCCATAACATCATACGCAAGGCGATCGAGGACCTGATGGACGCCACTGTTGCTGCTGAAGAGCATCTCGTGAATGGCACTCCTGAGCCGGTTTTCTTCAGTCTTGAAGGGCTAAGGAATGAAACCTCTGACTCGCGAGCCAGCGAGGAAGACCTCGATGTTCTTGAGATCGATCTGGATGAAGACGGTCCCCTTAGGGAGGAGTACCTCCCAAAGCGCCGCACCAGTGGCGCTGGTAGCTCTCGCCCTGCTCGTCTCCAGGAGAGGTCTTTGGACATCGACAAGAATCTGCCGCCTCCTGCGAAATGGAGCCCCGCTGCGGATGAGCCCATCTTCCGATACAATGCTCGTCCTCAGCAATACGTGGCACCGCAGCCGATCTCACAGGGCCATCTCATCCCTGCGCCTGCTCCACCGCCGGCTCCTTTCCACCAGGCTCTGGACATGAGCCGTAGGATCTGGCCTGTGGACGAGCAGATCGCGAGGCAGCCATACGCGGCACCGCCTCCGCCTCTGCCCGTGTTTACTGCGCCGCATGCTGCGTACCCTGCTTACGACTACAGGTACGCTCAGCCAGTCCCGCCGCCCCCGCATTCTCGCGCGCAGTCTCTGTCCTTCAACAACGTTACCGGACAGCCGCAGGGACATTACCGCTCCTACTCTCAGGTCCGCTACGACAACGACATGGCATACCCTCAATCGCGTCACCCCGTACCCCCGGCTCGATGGCCTGCGCCGTTTAGTCGGGCCGTCTTCCCGCCACTTCATGATTCCTATCTGTATGATTATCGCTCGCGGCCCTTGGTCAAGGTGTAGGATGAAGCACCTGCATTAGATTGCATTTCGAGAGGCATAGAAAGCCGCCTTGCGGCTCCTCCTGATGAGGAGGTTCGGTCGCATTTGTCCTTCCCTCTCACTTATCGTACTTCCGCAGCTACATAACCAATACCTCAAATTCTCCGACATGGATGCCCCCGGCGCTTGCGCGAGGCCCGTCCAATCTTCATTCTCTACATCATGCAGCTGCTCTAAATCCTCGCATCGGTTCCGTTTTCCGGGGTTTTCTCAAGTTTCGTCTCGTCGCCTCTTATCCATCCATCGACACGGTCTCATTTTTCCGTATCCATTCTGGGCATCCCCGTTATCCACGACATATCCATCCTGTCTTCGGGATCGCCAGCACGAGAATTTGCCGCTTTTGCAGCGACACGCATCGTATCTATTGCTTAGTGCATCGACATCGCCGCCATCCGTTATTCACTCCTCTGGAGGCACAAGCAGGATCTACCACAGAACCGATCTTCCTCAAGGCAGTCGTACAAGATATCTGCCCATTACTGCTGGGTTGACAGCACGCTCTCCGTCGCATGACTAGCTACGCATGTGCGCGTACACTGGGCCCGTCGATATCATATCCGCTTCTTCCGTTGCTAGGAGATTTTCGCTGTGTACAGATTTCCGTGCCTTACCTTTGGGACGCTTTTCAAGCTACACTAATGTCGTTCACGCCTTCAGCTTCGCTGTTCAAGATTCCCTTCACTGGTAGTCCACGTTTTCGTCCCCTTTCCGTCTGTTCGTTGTATTTTTTCTTACATCGCCTCATCCTCGACAAAGACAAAACCACAAAAACAACGGAAAAAGGTCACGAAAACCCCACACTACAGTTTTCATGTTTCCTTTCGCTCTTACCGTTTCTGAATGTTTTTGGTTGTATCGTCTATCCAGTCCCCTCCCACATCCACACGTACCCGCCTGTCCCTGGCATATCCCTTTATTCCGCCTTGCTTCCTGAGAAGCTCCTATGATCCCCTTTCTTCACGTAGTTATCCTGCACTTTGTCCCCGTTGTAGATAGCTATGTGAATCGATTGTCTGCATGATTGTCGTGGTGCACCTGCGCCATCGCTGTCACTAGTACCAACGCGCGAACATATACCCCCGCGCGGGCTGGATCGGATCCTGTGTCGTGGGTGGTCGTGCATCAGTGAGCGTTATCGATCAGGCAATATGGCTGTAGCGTTGAGAACGCATGCTATGAGCACGGGACGGTTCAATGTCGGCCAGCGCCGCGCAAATGCGTGCAACACGGGCCAACCATCTTGCACCCTGCAGGTACGAGGACAGATAACGGCATGCTTCGCGCATAAAAGGGAGCGTGGAAAACAGGCTAGGACTGTGATGGGGAGCCTATGATCTATTCATAATTTATAAGGACGGAAGCAACCAACCAGAGCATAAATGTGTGTGACTGGCATATAGCCAGCTCCACTAGCACCTTCCTCCCCTTTTTCCCTGATCAAAACCACCATGCTCCTGTCCGGTGAACAGCTAGATGTCGCGACCGTCTACGATAACTATAAGGCTATGTACAAAGAGCACGCCGCCACCAGCAGCGCCAGCGCCAGTGCTAACATCAGCACCAGCACCGTGAACAGCGCCCTCAAGGCAAGCCAAAATGCTGAAGGTCCGGTCAAGTCGAAAAGGCCCAACAGGCTCCCCGAAAACGCTCTGAGCATCATGCGAGGTTCGCAATCTACCTATCTATTTCTCTGCAGAGGTTAATCATGATGGGGAACGCACAGACTACTACTACATGAAGAACGCTTGGCCGAACATGGACGAAAAGCGCGAACTATTGAGACGCATACACGAGATACCTGGCACAGATTGGTATACGGTACAGAGTGTCAACAGCTGGTTCAACGGCCGTCGAGTAGCGGACAAAATGACCAAGAAAAGAGACATTACCGCGTCCATTCGTGCGTGTCTTCGCGCGCTGTTTGACGCGTTCTGGCTCACAGAGCACGCTGTACAGTATGGCCTAGTCTTGACAATGGGAAAATCCAAAAGCTGCGTATTCTACACGAGCAACGACCTCCAAATGTTCCTCTTTCGAAACTCGTCGGAACGTGGGCACGGGCTCTGGGTGCGGAAGCGGAGCATGTTCAGGCCTGGGTGGACTATCATGACCCGTCCGATGAGGTATGTCCAACGAGGGCTTCCATGACAACGATTTTTCTCAATATATGCATGATAGGCGTCGCATCTTGTCGACCGGAAGCATACACCGCATTTACCGACGCCAGAAGCGACAGCGTCGCCAGAACCCAATCATCTGCATATGTCACGGAGTCCAACCGCAACTACACAACCGCCGCCGATCCTTCCTCCGTTTAGCACGACATCACCCATAGTCAAGCAGCAACAACTTAGCCCGGTCCAGCCGTATTTTGTTCCCCCATATATCCAGAGTTCAGTAGAGCCTCAGTCTCCAGTCACGTCTCAAGCGCTCTTTGTACCATTCCGCCCGCAGCTCCATGTACATGCAAGCCAACTACCGACACCCCCGGCATATTCGTCACCAACACACACGTCTGCTCAGCCAGGGCCGGACGTGAAAGTTGCGGTCTCCGATATTTCGCCTCTGCCACCAATATCAGCATCACAGCCAATGCCTCTGCCAAGAACCAACATGCTCAAGGACCTAGCAGTCACATTGAATGATGCCAAGTCAAGTTTGCCACAAGAGGTGACACTCACATCGCTCGAGGACATAGACAGGGCTTTTGAGCCTTATGAGAAGATGATGCGGGACCTGCTGTCTAAGGCACGCAGTGGGCTATTCGCACCAGTTGGCCTGGACCCTGCAATTGTCACATCTGTCAGTGACGACGACGACACCAGCGACGACAATATGGACATCTCACAATAAATGGCGAGCACTAATATATGCTCACTCTGTATGCCCGTGCTTATCGTAGTTTCCAGCCGCGATCCGCACGGCTGCCATCACGAAGCTCATGACACCTCCTACGCACCATACGCTTTCTGCCCGCTCATATTCAGCGGTGATTAACCCTTCATATGTATGTATCCACGCTCATTTTCTTGACCATGCTATCGACGTCTTTATTCTCTCGATGTCAATTTTCGCTGCTTTCTTGTTGCATAGCCCTTCGCATGCAGGGTCCCTAGTATTTCCATAGACAGGCATCTCCAAGAACAGGAAGCGTACTCAACATATCATAATCCATGTTGTTTTTATACTCAAAGTAATCAATAGTAAGCTCATAATGAGAAGTATGAGGGGTCTGTTGCAGGAAGCAGGGTCATGTGAGAAAGAAGCTGCCTCGAGGCCTCATTTCCGCGGGCCGTTCCTGGCTGGTATCATCGAGAAGAGTAGAGAAGCTTTGGTTTTCCGTGCAGACACTTACATGGAACAAAGCATGCAGTAGCCCTCTTGCAGGGCTATGTATGGACCAATAGTGTTTTGACCGGCTGCATGACCACAAGTCACTCGCACACTAAGGTTCGGTTCCCAGCAATGTGTTCTTCTGCCGACGGCTTTACAATGGACGAAATTAAGGATCATACAGTCCACATTCACAGTCGATGCGATCCAGAGCACGAAAAACGGCTTTGATATATCTAATAGCTACATATTTCTATCTTCACACGTTGCGGCTTCTCGCTTTCTTGTCTTCTGTTTTCGGCACGTCCGTCTTAGAGCCTGACGACGATGAACGGCACCTCGACATCCTCGCCTTCCTCATCCATGACCATGACCTCGACAATGAGGTGCTTCACATGTGGCAGGATCGGCTTCTTGCTGACCGTCTCGACGAGCTTGCTGAACTTGAGCGGCAGGCGCTCCTCGCTCTGCAGAAATAGCCAGTGTAAGTCAGCCCCGCCGCTACCCGGCCCAACAAATGCGGTTCCGCACCTTCTTCTTGCCGACAAACGAGCTCCAGAGCATGCTGACGCCCTGGCTGACCATCGACACCTCGAGGTTGTGCTGCTTCTTAAACCACTCGGTGATCTCCCTCAGCGTCGGGTCGTTCTCGAACGTGAAGCGGTCCCAGAGCGTCCACTCAGTGCTACCATACTTGTTTTTCTTGGCCGCAATAGGTTCTGAGAAGCCGAAGAAGGGTAGCGCGAGGTTGACGAAGCCGTTCTTATACTGCTCGAGCTTGTTCTTGCCGTCGATAATCTGGGATAACGTACATTGAGCATATCATGTGAGGTTCGTCAAGACGCGCAACACGCACCTTGTACAGCTCCAAGCAGACCAAACCGACGACAAGCGAGGTAGTGGTGGCGATAGCGGGGATGATCTTGCCTGCAATCTGTTTGGTCGAGTGCCTGTCGGCGGGGTTGATGCTGTAGTTCATAGCACGCAAGTTGGACGCAGCGGTGATGAAGTCAATGTGGTGGTTGGTGTCGTCGTCTTTCTCGAACTCAACGGGGTTCAAGCGGTAGCCGACCAGTGACGAAGGCGCGGGCAGCTGCTTCAAGAGCTCAGGGGCGTCCGGACCGTCTGCAGACGCTTCGCTCTGCACAGGCTCGTTCTCGTTGACCTGAACTTTCACGCCGCTCTTTGGAGTGAATTCGGGCACGATCACGCTGTCTGCAATCTTCTTGAAAACGACAGGGTCCGTCTCGCCGCGCAAGCCGTAGTTGTAGGCGTGGAGGTTGGCAGCAGCAATGACGTACGCCAGGTGAGTAGGCTAAACGCCTAGATGTCAGATGTACGTTCAGCTCTGGAGGAAATTTAAAGCTTACGTCGCTCGAGTTGAAGGTCAAAGGATCGGGCGCACGCTTAGGACCGCTCCAGAAGGGCTGGCCAGTGCTGGTGACGGCATCTTTCGGCAGACTGAAGAGCAGCTGCCTGATGGCGTTGCTGTACTTCTCCTCAAACTGCAGACGAGCCCAGACGATGCACTCCTCGAAGGTCAACGGCTTGTTGCTAACAAGGTATTCGACAAGCTGCTCGACCTGCTCCTTTTGCTGACCAGAGTACTTCAGGTTGTTCTCGAGGAAATTCGGCTCTGAGAGATACGAGTTGACGGACTGTGCAGGCTTGACGAATAAGCTATCGAACTCCTGCCGCGCCCACTGCAAAGAGTTAGATAATTACTTTAACCGTGCTACATCACTCTCACCTCAATCGTGTGGTGGATGGCATTAGGAAAGTTCTTGACTGTGCACGAAGGCGTCTCCTTCTCTGGTGGATCTTGTGACGAAGAGTACGATTCCGTGAGGTGCGGAATGATGACCTGAGTGTTACCCTTGGTGCCGAGGGTACCTGACTCGAGCAAAGGCTTCTCGTAGAAGACACAGCGCTGGTCCATGTACAGACGCGCTTTCACGTTGTCGAGAGCGTTGGTAACGCCATCGATGCTGGCGAAGAACTCTTCGTTGTAAACGTCTACGGGAGTTTAGAACGCGAACTACGCCTGGAATAACGTCGACGTACTCTCAGTGTCAGGACCTACGGGCTCCTGCTTGGCGACGATCTTGCCCCTAAGGTCAGGGTTCATGTCCGCCACAGCAGCCGCGGCGACTTCCGACTTGAACTTGCCGAGATCCTTGGCGCGGAACAAGAACTGACGGTTAAGGTTACTCTTTTCGATGGTGTCCAAGTCGGTAACAGTGATTTGACCCTTCGGGCCGGTTGCAAGACCCGTCATACTCCAGTTCTTGAGCAGCTCGCAGCCAAGAGCACCAGCGCCGACCAAAAATTGACGGTGGTTAGCAATCTTTTCCTGGAATTTCCTGCCGAATACTACAATCTGGCCGTCGTACCGGCTGCCAACAGGCTGACAATCTTCCTCGGTTGGCAGCTCGTTAGGCAGAGACTCGAGTGAATCGAAGTACAGGTGCTGGAGCATGGGATGGAACTTAGCAGAGCAAGCCTTGAGGACTTCCTGAGCGATGAAACCACCAATAACAGCGTTAACCGGCGACAGATCGCCAGTAGCTTGGAACGCAAGTTCGGTGAGAATTTTCTCGTCAGCATCAGCATCGATCTTCTTCGTCAATGCAACAAACTTGGCGGCGTCCTCGGAGTTGCGGGGACGAGGGAAGCGTTGCTCTTTAGCCCTGAATTCCGAGAGGGCCTGGAAACCTGCATGGAGCGTTGATGGACGGTCGAACTTAGCGAAGTCGGTGATGAAGAACTCCGGATTCTTCAAGGATTCGCGCAACGATTTCTGCATTTGTCCTAAATATTAACCTTGTTTTGAGTAAGCCAGGAAGCGGGAACGTACGAATTCAAGAATCTTGGGCATCTTGACTTGCGTGAAGATGCCTCCCAGCTTGTACCCGCCGAAGTTTGAGGTGTCGCCAATGGAGAAAGTATACGGCCCTTTTACAGAGACCTTGCGGGGCTCGCATCCATTGAGCTCGGTCATGCCCTGCACCTCAGAGAATGTGACGAAGTCACCATCCTCGAGGCCATGTCGGGTCTCGTCCAAGCAAGTAACAAGACCATCTTTGTCCTGCCAATCTTTCAGTACTCCTTGAAACCATGTAGTACTTGGAAAAGCACACCTTCTCGACAGACACGATCATACCACTCAGTGGCTGCTCGCCGGTAGGATCGACGCAAGTGAACTTGGGCCCAAAATCGTTGAAGGCTGAGCTATAATTGGACACACCTTTCAATACAGTGGCACGCTGAAAAATGTTCCACGTACCCGAAGAGTCCACGAGTCTCGGCGGCGATGAAAAGAACGCCATTTGTGTGTGTCCAGTCGTTAATCTCTAATTGCTTGCTCAGAGAAGCGTTGGTGAGGACAACAGCCTACAGACAAATTAGTAGCTTATTCAGAATGTAAAGGATGACGACGGACCTGGAAACCCTTGATCATCTCGACCGTAATCTCCTGCCCTCTCTCTCCACCCAAGTTCCGTACGGGGACATATGCGTTGAGTTCAGCAAGACGAGGGACTGCGATCTCCGCACGAGGCTTGCCGATATCCTCTTTGCGCAGGAAGTACTAGATGGAAGTGAGTGACGTCCCGCAGTATAACAGGTTAGGCGGTGCATGCTTACCTGTGAGCTGAGATCTTGGATCTCTACAGGCTCTGGGTCGTAGACAGTGACAGACTTCACGCCAGCAAGAACCAAATTCTTGGCTAGTATGCGTAATGAAATCAACGATGAGGTCGCAGACGCGTAGAGTAATGTGCCTCACCGATCTCCACACCAAGACCTCTGAGGCCTACGATGAGTACATTCGAAGCGGCCATGCGCTTCATTGCTGTTACACACCATGAGATCGCCGCCTCCCAGACTTATAAGCGGTATCAATACCTTCGTGACCTAGGACATAGCTAGGGGCAATCGTTAACATCTGTCTCAAGTGCAGCGCACGCGTCGCGCTACTCACAGTTGACGGGAGTAGAGGCCCTCGTCGATGGCAGTCTCATCGACATCCATCGCGGAGGGGAGATTCGTCGTTTCAGCCATTGGCAGTCGTAAAGGATATCAGTGAAGAGCAGAGAGGATGGTAGTGGAAGAGAGCTGAGTTTATGCAGAGCCGCCCGTGTACTTGACTTGAGTAATCGCGTCGGGGCGCTGCTTCGGGCCTCCACAGTCGGGCGACTCTGCTCTCGCTTTGACTAAGCCTGCGCTCAAATCCTCTCCACAGCTATGAAATACGTCGCGCTGCTGAGCGGCGGGAAGGACAGCTGCTACAATCTCTTGCACTGCTACAAGAATAGTCATGAGCTTGTAGCCGCTGCCTCTCTGCGTCCCGAGCCAGGAAGAGGTCCGACATCTCCCCTTCAGCGATAGATACATGCCAACTATTGAGACCTAGATGAAATTGACTCTTACATGTACCAAACAGTCGGTCAGGATGCGATAGAATACGTCGCAGAAGCTCTCGATGTCCCGCTTTACCGAAGAGTAATATCCGGCTCGGCCGTGGACATGACCTCGGAATATGGGTCCAGGAACGCAAGAAAGAATGGAGCATTAGAAGGTGATGAAACCGAAGACCTTTACATCCTTTTGTCTACTGTTAAAGTGCGACATTCCTCGCTCCGCACTGGAACATCGTTGAAATGTTTCATAGGAGGCACACCCAGACATACAGGGAGTATCCGTCGGGGCTATTTTGTCCAACTACCAGCGCGTTCGCGTTGAACATGTGTGAGCATGGTAATATTTCCCTTTCCGTGGCCCTTCTGATCCCCTGCAGGTGCCGCCGTCTAGCTTTGACCCCGCTTTGCTACCTATGGCAGCGCGACCAGGCAGAGCTTCTCAACGAGATGATAGAAGCGGGCCTCGAAGCCGTTATTATCAAGGTTGCGGGGATTGGTTTGACTGCGGACCATCTGGGCAAGACTCTTTCCCAGATGTCGGCAACATTGCTCAAACTAGTAAGCCCATACTGCAGCGATCTCGTATATGGAGGTCATCCAATAGTTTGGTGTGACTTCACAGAACTCCTTGTACGGCTCTCATATCTGCGGAGAAGGAGGAGAATATGAGACTCTTACGCTCGATTGCCCCCTTTTCAGGCACAAGATTCGCTTGTAAGCAAATCTCCAACTTATTCAACATCTGGCCAGACACGACTCATAGTTCAGAGTTGATACGGAGACTGTGGTCCATTCAGACAGTGACTTTGCTACAGTAGCGTACCTTCGAATTAGGAGCGCTACTCTCGAGGAGAAAGAAGAGACGACGGTGAGACCGGTCGTCCCGCCGCTGCTGGAGGAAAATGGCGACGCCCTCCGCGAGGACATTGGGCAGTCTTTGTGCTCACAACAACAGGTTGCAGAATTCTTACCATACGATCAGGCGGCCGCAGTTCTGTACTATCCAGGAACTAGAGGCAAGCAGGTTGGCTCATGGGTCGTTGTCCCGAACGTACACGGCGATTTAGGGCGTGAACCATCCGTACCGGTTGAAGACGAAGTTAGACAATGCTTCCAGATAATTGAAGGTTAATGTCACATAGCATGTCCTTATTTCCGCCGGACTAACTTGCATCCGCACAGAGCAGCTAAAGAACCACCGCCTTGACTTCTCGCATGTCGCCAACATGAACGTCTTTCTGTCCTCGATGGACCTCTTTTCCCGCGTCAACACGGTCTATGGCACCTTTTTCGGTAGCAGCCCGCCCGCCCGTGCCTGCGTTGCTGCGAATCTCGTTGAACCCCTCCGTGTACAGATCGAATGTGTGGCGTACGCGGAGAGAAACCTTTCCGAGCGACAGGCGCTGCATGTACAGGGCCTTAGCTATTGGGCGCCCGCGAACATTGGGCCATACTCTCAAGCTGTCATTGTGCGTCCATCCACAATCAAACACAGAGGGGCCTTAAAGATGTACTGCAGATTCGGGACCAGCGTGTCTTCGTCTCAGGCCAGATAGGTCTTATACCCAGTACCCTAACCCTCCCGTCCCCTCAGTCGTTGGCGACGGAGACAGCTCTGGCGTGTCAACACGTCGATCGCGTTGTGAAAGCTCTACAAAGCAACTCAGGAGGCGGCTGGGAGGGACACATACAGCTTGCTCTGTACTGGATGCTCAACTTTGGCGATCTTCCGCACGTGAAAAATGCCATCAGGGACTTGGTACGTGTTATCGCCTTACCTTGTAGCTCACTTGCCTTGAGCCTTGACGCATCTTTCAGGATCCAGGAGCTGCAGTTCTGTTCCTCGGGGTTCCCGCTCTTCCTAAGAACGCCCTTATCGAGAAACAGGTCGTCATCCACACGGGTCGCTTCATAGGTACAGAAGACGACGAGAACGAGATCTCGTCGCAAGCGCCGACTCAGGTGACTGGTATGTCTCCAATATAAGGCACGAGTGCAGGATTACGTCTGACATGCCTCGCTAGCGACGATACTAGGCAACAGGGGCAGGCTCACGTACACAACGTCCCGCTTTTCAGACGCTTCATCTACATGCATAACCATCTTTGTCAAGGGCGAAGTAGACGAGACCATGAATATTGGACTGGAAAGTGCACTCTCAGACGTGCTAGACCATGCCGTATCGGTCAGAGTGCTTTACCGGCCGTCCGACGAGATCAGAAGTACGTGGATCCTTCTAATGACCCGTAATGCAGGTTGAAGCTCTCACTCCGTAGACCCGCCAAGATTTATGCAAGAGCGGGGCCTCGCGGTCACAGCCGTACCGTGCACTTTTGTCGCCTGCTTCTCCCGCGATGACTGGGACTTCGCAATCTGCATTCTGGGTGCATAACGCTGTCTCATTGTATGCACAGGTCCCAATGTACAGACCATATCTAAATGCGAATGAAAATGCGAGAAACAGCCGGAGGGTTCGTGGATGATGGGATGCGGAAATATTACAAAGAATAATACAAGCCAGAAAAGAGCTTTGAACAGAATGTGTCAGGGGGTGCCCTCCTGTTCGAGAATCTTCAATTCGGCCAAACGACGGCGCATCTGCTTCTCTGTTCGCGTCGGTGGGACCTTACGAGCGAAGGCAGCGCCAACCTGTCCGTTGATATTAGCGCCTTCATGTACAGCGAAGCCATATTTACTTACCAGGGCACACAACCCACCAAAGCGCAGGACCCAGGCAACGCCGTTCTTACCATAGAACGTGGTGTGATTCTGAGGGTCATCATCGATTTCGGAATCTACTGCTTTGAAGATGGCGCTTGACACCAAGGCGACGATGAACTGCGGGAAGACAATGGCGAGGTTGTGAATGCCGAGGATAGTGCCTCCTGCGACGGGCTCCGCTGACGGCGCGTCGAGCATGTCGTGGCGTTCCTCCAAGGACCGTCTCCTGCGAAGAAGGGGCTGGTGTTCGTCTATGTCCTGCATGGTTGGGCGCACGGGCGTAGACAAGGTGCGGGTGTGTGAAGGCCGACGATGCGTGAGACGACGCTGGAAGGCCTCCTCTTCAGGGGTAACTTCGTGCTCACGCTCTTTCAAGAACTGGGATGCGCGTTGAGTAACCGATTTTTTTTTCAGGTGGCAGGACCCACGCACCTCCATGATGATAGCAAAGGGGACCCAGCATGCGACAGCCCAGCAAACACCAACCAAGCTAACCGCGATGATAGCCTGCCATACCTTGGTAATGAAGAATGTGGAGAAAGTGATAGCAGCGAAAAGCAGCATAGCCCCCATCCAGATGTTCCTGAGGAAGAAAGGCATAAAGGGAAGCTTAAGTGGCATTCCCTGTCTAGCTGCCTCTGCACGCCACTGCTGCACTGTCGCTCTTAGGCGAGAGAACTCGGCGTCCTCGTCCTCGTCTCCCTCATGCGCCAGCAAGCGCGAGTCACGTTGAGATAAGCGAGGCAGGAGTATTCCGGCGATAACAGCAACTGCGACTGTTCAGCCATCTCTACTCGTCACGGGAACTGAAATACTACTCACCAACGCTGTAAATGGCCATCGCAAACTCTCCGGTACGCGTCGCCAGATCATTATCGGGTTCGCGACCGAGTTCGTGCGCCATAACCTGCCCAACATACGTAGTACTAGGAAAGTGAACAACAGTGACCCACGCCATAAATCCGTGACTACTCACGAGTAAAATAGGAACGGGAACCATCCCATAAACGCAAAAACTTGGACGTAGCACACCCGACGAATGGGCTTTGGAAGTTTCACGATCGCATTGTAAATGTTCCTGAGTACGTCACCGAATTTGCTTTGGCTAGCGGTCGCGTCAGCGTCCACAACAACAACGCAGTTGAATAGACTCACTTTCGATCCATGCGCAAGTCGTCCTCGCGAGACTGCTCCTCTTGAGAGGCACAAGTAATCCAAACGGTGATGGCCAGCAAGATGACGCTGACGACGCAGAACTTGCGGAACTGGTCCCCGCCGAGCAGACGCAAGAGCGGTATGCTCGCGAGCGGCAAGAACCCGAAACCAAAACCGACGATATTTCCCGCATTTGTCATCTTACTGTGCCAAGCATTCGCGACGTTGAGTTGTTCTGGGGGAGTGACATCGAGGAGCAAGTTTCGGAGAGATGCTTGGAGGGCATTGAGTGCGAAATCCAGAACATAGAAAGAGACGACCGCGAGTATGATAGCGGTGTTCTTAACCTAATCCAGACTGAATCAGCTGATAAAAGGCTTGGTTGGCGAGAAACTCACATCTTTCGCCCATTGCGGATCCCAGCTACCTTTTCCTCCACCAAAGAAATCGACGAAGAAAGCCGCGAGGTCCTGACAATACGCCAAGGTGAAAGTGGACAGCACCAGCGCGGCTGTTGAGAGCACGACCCAGTAACGCCGTCTATACTTCGACCGGGAAGCGTCGGAAATCGCGCCTAGGACGACGCAATAATGTCAGTGAACCCCATGGCGCGGAAGAGTGGTGTTGCGTACCAATGACAGGCTGTGCTATCAAGCCACTTATGGGACCAGCGAGCCATACCAAGCTGGTGAGCTGCTCCGAAAGGCCCAGCGATAGCAGGAACGGTGTTCCGTATCTGCACAGTTTCGCTCAGCGGCACACATAAATGATCACAAGTCATAGGGACGTACCCGAGTTCGACTGTCCACGCGATCTGGGCTCCCGCCATCGAGATGCTGAGCTTGACCAGGTCCCAAGTCGACATCCGCTTCCGGGACGGGTCGACCGCTCTGTCTTTCGCGACGCCGTCGGCGAGGTTATTGCGCGTCGATGACTCAGGCAGGGTTCGTGACCTCTCCCTCTCTGTAGATTCCATCCGGACTTGCTTTGCCTGTCTGGACGGCCACGGAATCTGTGTGGTTGGGTCAGGGTCAGAGTCGGCGGTGGGGGCGGGGAAAGCCATGGCTGCGGGGACAACGTAGAGAAGGACGGTGAGCTATACGGTTTTGGTTATATGTAGGCACTGTGCCTCGCTACCGAGGCCGTGCGTGTCAGGTGCATGCAAGCCAGGAGAGGATCGCTCTCAAGCCAGTATATGGAGTAATCGGCAAAAGCCGACCGGCGTTATCAGCGGGGAACAAGCGGAGAATGCTCGCACGTATGTCCGGACGCGTACGGCGGTAAGGGGCTACATGTTTTGCGAGCAGGGAAATAAATACAGACAGACGTGTGGAATGTGTCATGCGTGGCTACAGAGCGAGTACACAGCAGTTGCACGAAGCTGATAAGGAAATACTGTACACAGAGTACACCCTGCCAGAGGAGCCTACAAGAACGTACAGCCCAGAAGACGTAAACCACGAAGCGAACGAAGGGTATCACGTTATCCGAGAAGCAACTGAATTTGCGGAGGAGTTGCGCTTGTGAGAGAAGATGTGATGGTGATGTTTTTCTTTATCCTCGCCGCTTTTCTCGTTGTGTTTGTGAGAAGAGAGCAAGAAGGGTAACCGCCGCGAGAGCAATGTGGGGGTGTGGCTGCGTTCCGCCAGAGCAGGCCCAGGTGGCGGTGGTGGGAATTTAGCGAACTCGCTTGACGGCCCAAAAAACTCCGCGTCCTTCGTAGAGTCGCGGGAGTTGCTAGCCTTGATGAGGGGAGGTCGCGTGGATGTTTGTGTGGGTGTCGCAGGAGATGCAGGAGTCTTTTCCACCCTTGGTGGTGGAGTTATTCCAGGAGAAAATGATTGCTGGTGGAGAATATCCGGGTCGGTGCCAGACCGATTCCGGGTATCTGGCTGTCGAGAGGCAGTAGAGGAGCTCGACGACGTGAGCGGTTGTGGCGTACCGCGTAGTTGAGCAGCAGATGCTGACGGTCGCAGAAGCCTGCGTGGGGCGACTGATCCTACAGTCATGTAGGATTGAAGCGACGTAGCATCATCGTCTTTAGACCTTCCGCCGGACGAAACTGCTGAATCGTTTTGAGAAGCTGCGTCTGTCGACGCAGTAGCGGCGCTGCCACTTCGGTTACGCAACTTATACTTCTCCATCGCTTCCATGTCTCGTTCTCGCATACGGTTGGCGATGGGCGACAGGCCTGTGGTCGTGATTGAAGCCGGCGCAAGATTGCCGTGCAGTGCGGGGGTCGGAGACGGAATGCTGAGGATGCTGTTGCTGCCGATGGAACTTGCTGATGGGTGGGGAGGGGAGTGTGGCGGCGGAGGTAATGGCGTCCCATTCCGCTGCGGTGATAGTGATGAAAATGCAGGGGGGACGGGTCGTGAACGAGCAGGTGTTGAATGGCTATCGTATTCTCCCGAGTCTGACGTCGTTGTCGTTCGACTTGTGCCAGACCCACTGCGCATACGAATACTACCATCTGACTGTCGTGGGATGCTGCCGTTTGACAGCCTTGCCGCAGTAAGCGGTGGCACCTGTCCCTGCCACTCGGCTTCTCGCGCAGCAGCTTGTGCCGCTTTCCTCGCCTTCCTGTTGTTTTCAACTTGTACTCTGGCAGTATCTTGCAACACCTCCCTTATGCCTACCCTGGCCAGACATCAATATGGGTCGAGCCAGCACGTAGACAGTCATCACATACGAATAAGCGTAGTCGGAAGGTGTGGACCCGTCATTGTTGCGCATATTGAACTGGCATCCACGTTCTATCAATGCTTGTACGATCTATACAATCATCAGATGAGTTAGTCTTTAACTGCGGTAGTAGCACACACCAAAACATGGCCCCACGCACTGGCGCTACAAGACGATGTCAGATAACCGAACCGCATGCCAACAACGCGGGAAGGCTCACTAGTGCAGCGGAGTGTTCCCTTCATTGTCTGCAAGGTCTATGTCGGCTCCAAAATCACATAGCATCTGGAAGAGAGTGAACGACCGTACAGCAGATAGAGAGAAATGCATGTACCCTAACAAGCTCTTCGTTCCCCCGCATCGCAGCCATATGCATCGCAGTCTTACCATCTGAATTTGCCCAGTCTAGCGTGTCGGGGTAACGTTCATAGTACAGACGTGCCATCCGCAAGGTCGCGCCATAGAATTCATGGTCAGTCGAGACGGAGGCGGAGACTGGTGGACGCGCATCCGCGAGCAGAATGAGGGTCGTGTTGTTTTCTGAGTCCTGTTGGATGCCTTGTTGAAGTCCAGAGTACTGTCATGCCACTAAGTCGCCACACTCACCCGACTGACTTCTCTGTCATCGTGACTTGCGCTGAGAAGGTATTCGAACGTCTCTTCGTGTCCCAACACTGCTGCCCATGCCAGCGACGTGAAGCGTTTGTGCGTGGGGTCGGGATTGCGGATGTCTGTCCTCTTTGCGAGTCGTTTGACCAAGAAAAGATTGTTCTCTGTGAGAAGGTTCGCGTGAGCACAGCACGACGCCTGGACCGCAGCGACTAACCCTTGACCGCCCGCCTCAGTCGTATTGTGGGATCCTTTTCAGCCATTCCAGGGGAGGCACAGGGAGTATACGCCGTCTGGCACGAGAGCACAAGAGGGTCGTAGAACGGTGACGCTGCCTCCGGAGGCAGAACTGAGCAGAGGGAATAATAAGAGGGCGAACCACGTGGTTTCAATCTATGAATGCACCAAGACCTCGGGCGTCTGCTCTCGGTCTTGCTTCACTTCATTCATCTACGTCCTGGTTTCGAGGCAGTGTCAGAAGCCTGAATCCCACCCTGTGCGCCAACTTCATCTTGCAACAGTCTCACCGCCATGCCCAAAGTAGTCTCCCGGTCGGCTGTGTCCTCGTCTACTGACGGTCAATATGCTCGATCCTCCGCGTGCTCTCGTGTTGTGCTTTGTGCTGAAACGAACCCTCTTCACCAGCCCAGCCAACCGCATCTTCTACCGCCGCATTGCGCGTTTACTGTACTTGGCTCTTCCTGCCTGATCATCTTCCGAGAAGCTGACAGACCTTTTGCGTGTGTCCAGACTGCCTATGCGGCGAATTCATTGTACGTTTCTCCAAGCCCAGCTCTGTCTCAACCCTGGAATGCTGAATCCACACCTTGGCAGCTTGTGATTGATAAAGGCTTAGCCAGTTCGCCCAGACGTCAAACCGATGGGGCAACAGTCGTTCAATGCCAAGATAGCAATGTCGGCAAAGCCAGGGTCTTCAAGCTGAATGCAACGCTCAAGGATGCCATTCTGGTCGAACGGTGAGTACGGCATACCGTCGTTGTGATCATCCATCTAAGGCATGTGAATATCAGCCAAGGCGGCCATGAGAAGCAGTACAGGTTTCATTGCCCACGCTGCGACTTGCAGATTGGGTACCAGTCGACGCCACCTCCGATGAAGTCCGGACCCTACGTGTACATCGTCAAGGGGGCTCTAAGCCAGATACAAGGTCAGGTCCCTCCAGATGCTTTTGCAGACGAAAATCTTGTTCGCTCGTGACTGGCTCCATAATGCTCAGCCTGTCAAGCGTTACCAGGCGTACTCTTGTAGTGCTTCAATAGCCTGGCTACTCCCCTTGTATTCTGCAAATTAATTTGAGCAACAGTCTCGCACTTCTGTGCCTCCGTTGTCTGGACATATTCGTTGCGCGAGTCGTTGCGCTGAAGGCTGGGAATGTATAGAGCAATTAATGTGTACGCAGACGGCATGTGTCGCGTCCAGAGTCCTCTTTCTCTTCTCTTTAGCAATAGAGCAGTACTCTGCACATGTAGTGTAGTTTGCTCGCTGCTGTCTCGTCTCCCAAAGCTTCGCGCCCACTGCCGTCTTCACGCCCACGTTCACCACGACCGATTTTCTACAGCAGCACGGTATGGACGCCGGCGCGCTTCACCAAATTGAGCCAGTCGGCGTCCTTGCCATTCTCGTCTGCTCCCTTGTACTCTGTTTGATTTTGATGTCGGCTCCTGTATGTTCGCACACCTTTCCTTTTGCAGAACAAGGCATCTGCAGAGTTTGGTGGCAGTCTCTCTGTGGTACGCGTGGCGGTTGCGCGTGTTGGAGCAAACGGACGGCCATCTTGTCACAGCGTTGCGTTGCTGGGCCGCCATTTAAATTCATCAAGCTCTGAAATAGTGGACCCGAAACCCCTCGCAGTCCCTGCACCCCTGCGGATTGGCACTTTCACCTCTCACCCACCCACCGGCATCGTGCTGTCTGCTCATCCTCGACCCCTCGAAGACATGTCTTACTCCGCGTCTGCACAGTCCTTTGGGCTCTTCTCCGCCACGGCGCCGACCTCACCACACGCTTTCAACATCTTCTCGTTCTCGCATTCGCCTCGCGAGACGCATGCGATGGTGGAGGATCTTCGGGACGTGCTGAAGCCGTCAAATCAGGTTTCGGAATGGGGCGTTGAGCCTAGAAAGACGTTGAGACGGGCTAGTAGTACGCCGTCGTTGAAGGACAGCATACGGAAATTCTTCCGGTTGTGAAGGCATGAGGCCAGTAGCTGGCCTGAGAGTGAAGAGCAATGGTTCGTAGTCTGCATCTGACTGTGTGGGCTTCTAACCAACGTTTTGCACCCTTCAGGTCACCACACCGACGGAAATATCAGCCACGCTGTCCTCACTGAGGCAGACTTCAAACATGCACATTCCTTTCAATCTGTTTTTGATCACTCATTTTGATTCACACTCCTTGATAACTCGAAAAGTTGATTACCACACGTCTCATCGCGCTTGCTTCTAATGTATCCCCGGGCTCTGCTCAGAGACTGCGTCTTTTCCTTGTAACACTACTTGATTATATAGACACCAGGGACTGTTCAGCTTGTCCGAAATTGTATTGTAGCCATATGATAGATCTCTCCTATTACTTTGTGTATTGTATAAAGTCGGTCCCTTCTGCCGATGGCCGCGGTCGCTGTGTTGGCGTTGGTATAGCTCTTGTGGGTCGTGCACTGGTCGCTTTGCCCGACATGTGGGAAACGAACAACGATGCCTTCCGGATTGGGTCGAAACGTCTTAGCCACGTGCCCAGCCGCGAGCTCAGGAGGGCGCGGCAAGCTGCGAGCCCCCACATTGAGAGCGACGGCGAGCTCAAGGCAGAGGACGACCGGCGAGCGTGTTTCAGCGGCCATGGACCTCCCGACGCCTCGCGAGCTGGAGCTCGAGACGCTCCTCAGACAGCGCGACGTGCAGCTCACAGATCTCACGGTGCGTCCAACCATCCCTTGCGCTCGTGTGTCCTGTCTGGAGATCTGACGCGTCTTGCTCCGCCGTGCCTTGCAGGACGAGGTCACACACCTTAGACAGTACCTCGCTAACCAGCCTGTCCCGACGGTCACCGACCCCATATCGCTGCCACCACCACTCGTCTCGCTATTGCTCCCGCACATCAATGACCAGTCGTCCGCCACATCCTCATCCGCGTTGTCCAGCACTGTCGTACAAGCCCTGACTCAGCGGGTCAAGGTCCTACAAGAAGAGAATGATGAACTTTACGAGCTACTGAAGACGGGGGAAACAGGGAGGCTGAAGGAGGACGTGCGCTCATTGAAGAGAGTCGTCCAAAAGCTGGAGGGAGCGCTGAGAGGTTCGTCTGACGCCGAGTCTGGCCTTCACCTCCACATACTGACCTGAGGGCGTATATGCACAGACTCGCACCAAGCGATCAATTCTCTATCGTACGTTCCATAATGCATTCGTCTCCTCAGGGATTCTCACGCATACACCCGCAGAGAGGAGCTTGACAAGGCTCAGGCTACAATCCTCGAGAACAGCCGAATGAAGCCCAACAATCCCCGTGCACTCTCTCAGTCCCCCGTAATGCGCACGAACCAGAATCTCCCACCACACATGAGCCAGCCTTCGAATGGCTCTTCCAAACTCCCGCCCACAGGCCCGCGTGCGCACAAAAAGCCGCGCCTCTCGGAGACGCCTTCGGCCCCACCTTCGTCTCATGGGAGCCAACCTGCAAAGGGTAACCGCGTACATGGCGGGTCCTCCGCCCGCCGACAGGAAACACCCAACCGCTCTCCGCGAGTGACCACGTCGAACGACCGGAAGCCGAAGATGGAAGTAGACGACGGGGGTCGCAAACACTGGTCCCCAAAGCACGGCCTCGACCATGAAGAACGTGCGGAGAGACCTTCGGACCGCGACCGCGACCGTGACCGGGAGCGCGATCGCGAGCGTGGTCACGAACGCGACCGTGACCGGCCGCCAAAGGACCGCGAGCGAGACAGACACACTCACCGCGACCGCGATCGTGACCGGGCGAGAGACTTTGATAGGTCCAAACGGAACGGTGCGTATGGCGGTTCGGGCGGCGGTGGCGGGGGTAGTTCGGGGGGAGGCACCGGAGGTGGCAGACGGCCGCGCCGTGGCAGCAACACGAACTCGTACTCTTCCGCCGGAGATCGGACGTTGAAGGAGCGTATGGGACTCTAACTTGACGGATGGCTCTTCTTTCTTGTTTTCTCGCTCGGTGGACCACATCCGGAGATGCGGGGCATCGAGGTAGTACTCGTCATTCCGGTACCGTTTGGTCCTAGTTGTATATGGTGCGCATATTCCTCTGGGCTGGCCGTTGCACTACACTTGTATCGATAGTCTGACACTCTTTGTTTGCATTCACAGTTGTATCATATCGTGTCGCGGTCTTCTATCATCTCTACCCCCTATGTCCAGCATTATCGTCGTACTGCTTTGTTGAATCGTATCGTATATTATCTCTCTCCTGTGACAAGTTCCTGGCATCCACTACTCAGCTTTAATCGTCCCTAGATGATATCGTCATGGCTTTGCGTGCGCAGTAGGCATTCATCAGTCCGGCTAGTACTTCTCATCTGCTCTCCCTACGATGATCTATGCCCTCTAACGCACTTTCTCATCTCTTTACGACCGGTCGCATGAAAAGTAGATGAAAAGTAGGATATATACCCGTCAGCTAGTACTGGTCTGGTGATTGCTATCACCTGGTAGTTATAGCTTTATGTACTGAGTACTGTCGCTTCTAAACTTTTGTATTACTACTTAACATACTTGATCTTGGTAGAATTGCTTACTATCTGGGCCTCTTCCGCAGCTACTTACTAGTAGCAACGATTTTTCTGGGGATGTGGCATTTGTCTGTGTAGGTATTCACCATGGCCATGCTTCTATCTAACGTGAATGTGAAAGGTCCAGACTCCAGTGGTCCAGAGGTAAGACAGGTACTCCTGGGTTTGAACACTCGTTGAGCCTCTTTGTTCATCCTTGCCACTTTCATATCTACGTCACGATCTTTTCGCATGCGCCTAGCACTGAGAGATGGTTATTTGGACGTTGACCTTTGCTCCTACTGGGTAAATACCATGAAAAGGTGCCGAACTTACATAATAGGTAAGACTCGGGCCATACTGCGCATCTGCAGCGCGTGGACAACGACGCTCACCATCTAACCTGTCCTCAACGAACGTCACATTGAGTTAATCTTGCTTGTAAGACAGTGTGAGCCGTGATATCTCCAAGCATATATATTAAAACCCCAACAGGTCCATTGTGCAGGATTGTATATTCATGCCGGGCGACCTCCCTCCAGAGCTCTTGGATCTCGTATTCTCCCATTTACACGAGGGCGAATGGGAGCCATCGGTCGCCCCCATATCTCACAGCAAATATGAGCTAGACTCGTGCAGTCGGGTGTGCCGCATGTGGAATGCAGCGGCGCGTTCCCACCTCTTCCGGGACATCACTTACTCTTATCGCGCCGTCCCTTACGACGCTACACTCAATGAGCGAGGCGATTACAACGACACGCTCCCGAAATACGGCTACTTCGATGCAGAGTATAAGCCTAATGCTCGGTACAAGACCTTTCCGATGTTCTTTTCTTTTGTGGCGCAGTCACCCATCGCCCAGTACAACATTCGCCGCTTGAGGCTTGATGCTTGGCCTCGTGACAAGAGCCCTTTCTTCTACGGCCAAGCCAGTGACTTCATCGATGCATCTCTCTTCGTTCAATTACTGCAGCTGCTACCCCATCTTTGTGTACTACACCTTTGCAACGTCGGCATCGCGCGCTTCCTGAGTCCTCGGAACTCCCCAATCTTACATCCTTCACTGCACCGGATGTCCATCTCGAGCGTGGCTACCACGAAAGATATCTACCATGGATGGCCGGAACTAGCAGTCAGCGACATTCTCGACTGCTTTGCCGAGATTGAGGAGCTGCACCTCGTTCTCCCAAACATCCCTCGTTTCGAGTCAGACGCACATGAAGATTGGCCCCCTTTGAAGATCAGCAGATTGATTCTCGGTGACTCAATGTACTTGGACGATGGTCTGTTCGAGTACCTGTTCGAAGTGCGGGGTATGCAACGGGTCTCTACGCTTAGTCTCGAGCACCTATCGCCCGACTCCGCTCTTGACCTGCTCTGCCAAATGCACTTCGACGAACTACGATTGGCATGCACAGAGGCAGATGAATACTGTGTGTCTTATCTTCTCCTGTACCTCTCTTCGATCTCGGGCGCTCAATTTTCGTTTTCCCAGGTGGTCTAGAAGGGTTGTTCGACATATCCTCTTGTACCGAGCTGAAGCATCTTGCCATCGACGTTCCGTTCATCTTGACGGAGGGCAACGTGCCTGCAGAAATAAGCGGGCCCACCATGTTTCCAGCATTTGTCGTTATCATCGGACTTTTGGAGGCAAGCCTTCCGCGGCTCACAAGACTGACACTACATTTATGTGGTGTTCACGCCTACGAGCGCGACGGGCGGTCCGATACCCACCCACTGATGCCTGCTAGAGACCACACTCTGCAATATTTTGAGCAGAGACTTGTACGTCTTATCGATCACTTCAGCCTTTCGAGCATCACATTCGCCGTAAACGGAGACGATCCTCGTACCTTACCTACGAAGGATGTCGAGAATCTGCTCAAAAGGTGTTGTCCTCGCTTGGCAGCGGAGAAGAAATATTCTGTTGTGCGAACTGCCGAGGATGCCACGCCTTCTTATATATTGTAAGTGTCACACATTATGAAAGTCTTCTCTACCAACTCTTTGTTCGCAGTGGTACGGACCGTTACCTGACATAGAAGACTCGGCACGCCTTAGAGCTTGACAGCATGACGCAGATAGAGGCGTTCTGGTACGAGACACATGTACTATTACTGCTGACGATGCAGGGCTCATTACGCATACGTTTGACTGTTTGGTTTGAAGAAGCTCATTGTCGTGTGATCAGAATCGGGGCATTGTAAACGGGGAGCATCGTCCCTGTCAAACAATGAAGTTTGGGGTGTCATAGTCGCCGTCAGGGTAGATTTAGGTCGGGGCGTGCGCGCGAACTCGTTTCCTGCATTCGGGAGACTTGTGGTAGCATTACGGGGTGTCCTAATGGAGAACACTATATCATAGAGTCTAAATCAGTTTTGGTTTGCATCATTGCCGCTGAGGGCGTGGTTACTGCAGCCAAGTTGCACCGATCAGCAGCCAATATGCACCGACACGTAATTCAACGTCTCATATATTAGGGAGAAGACTGGGAGACCCTACGTGGACATCCTACCAAGTGACAGGATGGTAAGTTAACACATGCGCGAGACAAGGGTCTCCGTTGAGACCTTACGTATGCTCACATCTTTGCCCTGTCACGCCTCATCGGCCATTCCGTTAACAGGAATGTTGGCTGAGTTTAAGGGCTACTATAGAAGTCATTACGAGAGACAGAAGCTGTCGGAGTGTCTGCGTCTGGGACAGGTCCCGACGGTGCCTTGTCGGTCGGCAGGACCGGAACGGCGCAACACATGCGGCAGCCATGCAGCGCCGTCGCCAGGGTCTTGTATACACACTCGCACAGGTACGGTATGACCCGAGGCCACTTCAACAGAAGACTGAACTATTGCTACATGCGCAGGTCGCATTGAGAGGTAGGGCATATATATGTATATCTTACGCACGATACCGCTCGCTCGATCTCTACATCGGAACATTCTAGCAGCCTCACCTTCAATGTATAGGCATCTTCTCCAAGGTTAATCACCGACCAGCTCCACTGCACTGGTTCTGTGCCAGTTATGCGACCCTGAACTCCCGCGACTTCTGCCGCTCCGGAGGTCTGTGCCGTAGAGATGCTTCTCCAATCCTCCTTGGGTGAGGTTAAGCAAGGGATTTGGAAAGAGAGGAATCACCTGCGAGTCGGGTGCGCGGGACATCGTGCCGGTACATTGTTCTTGGGGGCGCGAGAGCGGGCACAGGACCACTTCGATACCATGCCGCCAGGCAATTTTACTCCCCTGACTCAGCGCCCCCAGGAATTTGGACATATGGACTTCGTGCGGGGTGAGCATGACAAACTGACGACTCGATGGGCGTACGCGCGCCGGAAATCCGCTGGGAATGCTATAGGATGCCCTGAATATATGTCGTACAATGGTATTTCTTCGGACTCTCTAAGGTGCGGATATCATTCCTCTGTACTATTTTAGCGTCTGCAATAGAAGGGGCATAGAAGATGCAAATAGTGTTGTGAGTCGGTGCGCTGCGCCTATTATACACAAAAATCCGCTTGTGCCAACAATCAAAAACCCTGAGATGTAAGATAATCGGACCGGACATACACCTCCAGCACGCTCGCCCTAATTCTGTAGCTGATTAGCCGCAACTTCCCGGCGTGCATACTCTCCTCGTCGTGCCAGTCCTGCTGCGAGACGACTGATCCAGCGACCGGTACCAGCTTGACCTTTGCGCCCCATGTCCTCACCCGTTTGTTGTCGACGGTTTGAAATTCCCAGACATCCTTCTCCAGAGAGCCGAGAGGCTTGCGCTGCCGGTTTCGCTCGATGAACTCCCGCGTCCAATTGCCGCTCCATCCATATATACTACCCGAATCTCCTTCGTCCATTGAGTTCTCAGACTCTGCGCCATCACCTGTAGCCTCTGACCTCTCGTGTAGCTCCAAGTCGGGCTCATAAATGGCCACGTGCGGCGAGCTGCCTTCCTTCCTGAAGCACTCGACTGGGGAGTCTGTAGTAGAATCGCCAGTATAGAACGTAAATGGCGGGCTCCTGACGGCGAGCATATTGCTATCTTCGTCTAACATCTCAGCGACCCACGGAGTCGCGTTTGCGGTACGGTGAAGGAAGATGAGCGGCGAGATCTCGTCGCCTTCGCCATATATCCCACAGTACTCGTTAGAGCCGATGCAAGGCTCGGGATCGTAGTAACGCTGTTTCTTGTAGACGAACTCGTACGGTGAATGCGGCTTGAAGACGAAGTAGCCGAGCTCTTCAACCCAAGCAGGAGGGCCGAGCTCGCCAACGAAATTCGTGCCCCGAACGTACTTCCCGTACTGCTCTGGTGCTTTCCCATCAACAGACCATACTATGGGCTCGCCCTTCCACACAAGTGTAGAAAGACACAACTTTATGTCTGGAGGAGGCGTTGGAGGAGGCGTTGGAGAGCGAGATTTCGCCGACAGCTTCGCTCTCTTTTCGGCAGGCTCTCCGGTAGACGCAGAAACCACATTCTCTGCCACAGGTGGATTCTTTCTCTTTTAGCTGAGGACTGGGCCGAGCCAGCGTCGAGATGTATATGAGCGTGCTTTGCCATATCCTCGAGAGCCGAGTAGTTCTGTCATGCTGTTTGCTGTGGATGGTCGTATATCAGGGGCGGAGCTCCCCGCCAGAATTACGATCCCGCGTCGGATTATGTAAGCATCGACGGCAAGCGGTGTTGGATGCCTTCAAGTCTTCCTCTCCCGTTTGAAAATGCAGCCCAGTTCATCTACCCACGCTGACCTCGCACAACCTACCTTTTAGGACAATCAGACCCTTGGGATCATGATAGATTTAGCATAAGCAACCCGAAAACGGAAGATGACATGCCAAAGATGGCAATTTCCAGCAGCCGCCCTGGCTTGCACCGGTCCAGTGGGTTTACTACAACTACGACCGCAAACTTCGGCCACTACGAAAATACACTATGCGATTGCGGCGCATGATCAAGATATTAGAACTCCTTGTCTTCACAGCCATGTCTGATGATTTCTCGTCCACTCCCCGTGTCACGCAGCCTCGGTGTACAGCGCCCAGTGTGCGCCTCGTACATGCAGCTGAAGTACATAAATATGCGAAGGGCAGTATCATGGGTATTAATGCGCAATGGCCCCCGTATCTCCTCGAGAGAGTAAAGGATGAGCCTGGCTTAATTCGGCGCTGTCATGATCTGTGGCGGAGGCACTGCCAGTCGAAGTCGTAATGGACGCCTCACTTGATCACTGCGTCCAATATCACACCGGCAAACATGTCGCGGGGAAGAGTAGCAGCAAGATGGTGCCCTTTACAACGAGCCCGTCCTGCGAGCTCCACGCTGCGATCAACAAACCCAGTCAAGCATTGTTCAGGCACCATCATCGCCTGCATGAACAGAGGACATCCCAATCGCGGCCATAGATCCTGAGACACCCATCGAGAAGAACGGGTTTCAAATGAGGTACATTGTGCATATGATGCGCGAGGGTGAGCCCATATGAGTCTGAACAAACACCATGTGTAAGCAATTGGCGTAAGACTTGTCCAGTTCACTGCAAACCTTACATTCATGAACCAGTCACAGTTGCACTTCGATACGATGAAAATGATGGTGGGCCCCACAATGAGTGTGCCGAGGGACGTCCCACATGAAATGAACAAGCACAGGTACGCCCCACGCGTATTGTAGTTCAAGTGGGATGCGATTGGTGGTGCAGTTGTGATAAATGCGGCAGTCGCGCTGAGGAGAAGTCCTGCCTGAGGCACAAGTCAGAATTAATATTCAGAATCCGTAGATAACGCTATCAGGTGGAATATGCACCACGACTACGATAGCATTGAGCCGGTTGCAGAGGCGCGAGCTGCTTTCGAGGCCTCGTCGTTCGCCATGCGAGCTGTCCAGACGTTGGCCGGCTTGGAAGGTCCGAGGGATATTAAGCAGGGCACTTCAACGCTGAATTTGAGGATTCGACGTAGAAATAACAGGTGGTGGGGTATCTGTTCAAAGTCGAATTCCCAGTGGTTCGGCACTGGGGGGACGTGCTTCGGGTCTGCAGTTGAGTCGGATGTGCCGTGCGAGTCGCCGTTATCGAACTGGTGGGCATGCCCCTGTCGACGCCGCTAAGAATGCGTGAGGCCTGTGGCGAAAGGCTGAATGCACACTAAGAGCGGGCCGATCGTTCTGGACGTGGCACGGTGAGCATATATAATGGGCCTTCACCTATCTCAACGGCAGGATACCACGCCGTCTAGGGTCTTAGCGTTATTGAAGAACCTCCATAAGGCTTGTCAGGCACAACCGTATGTTCTCGAATGCTAGGGAGGGAAAGATTTACCGTGAAGTCACCTTCGCAATTTAAGAGGATAGATTTGCGACCGTACATTCATAACTCAGCAAGCGCAATCTCAGTACACAGAATCACACTTATCCGATAATACACCTTTAGCACAGCCTTAGCATGCACTCGTGAGCATTTACAAGCTTAAGGCGGCAGACATTGAAACACTATTGAAACGTGAGCATGAAGCCCTGAGAATGGAGGACTTCCCGAGGGAGAGGGCCGGTACTACTAACGCTCAGCATGTTCGGCATGTTACGAGATGCCATCACTTTGCTTGCTAAGGCAGGAACGATGAGAGCGCTCTGGTCGTCCTGGCAGGTGTGGCATTTCGACAGCAGGGTACCACGCCGTCTAGAACTGCAGCGATATTGAGGGATTCACATAGGCTTTGTTAGACATGACTGTACGTTCTTGGGTCGCTTCGTCGTTGTATATGATTTTAGCTAGCCAACATGAACCTCAAATGTTGGGAGCTACCAAGTACTCCAGCGGTAAGCATTGCCGGAAACCTAAGCGCAAATGAAGCTATTGGATATCCTGATGTTAGAGACTAGCTGCTCCGAGGGCTATCATCAGTATCGCACTTTGCTGGAGCGGGGGGTGGGCAGGGGACTTTGCTGTGTCCGCATTAATGCCGATCCGTCCCCCTGCGGAGCAGCATCCAACCTCGAGAGTTAGTCCTGAGTAGAGATAGCAAATTTAGCTGCGTAATTACCTTCGCAGTCTGAGAACAAATATGCAGCTATGTGCTCGTGATTCAGCAAGCGCAGTGGCTTTGTGCTTACGGAACCCCACCAATGGGCAAGGGACCCGGCGGCACACCTTTAACATAGCTCCTGCATATACCTGTAAACCGTAAGGCGATAGCCGTTCAATTCATTCTCATCAGAAGGTGTGCACAAAGTCTTGAATAATATGGGGTAAGTTTGAGAGATTCAGATGAGCAGCTCAGATGAACTTACAATGAATTCGACTCAGAAGCGTCCACGCCAGTCTGCTGCACTATGCTGTAGGACACGAGTTCTCACAACTTCGTGGCTTCTTTACATACATTCGACCAGACGGATCTTCAGATAATATTGTTGATTCTCCCAACGCTGCTTCGTTGAATTAGCCGAATATTCCTCCTGCCCTATCAGCGCGATACCCGGCCCCGACAGTGTCTTACTTGATCACATCCCTCTCGCTGGCAAGCAGCCGAAGATCCCCACAGAGGAACCGAGGTGCGTCTCCAACCTCCCTGCTGCGTGAACATGTCTGACTGCTTGTTTGTGCCGCAGGAATTCGATCATGCCGCCGCCCCAGCAACCGCCATCAAGGATCAACTTGTCCATCTCCACCCTAGTCTGGCACGAGACACCCTCGAAGTTTTATCTTGACGGAGAAGAGCCCCAGGAGATGGGAAGATACGAGCTGGAATCACAGCCCATCAAGCTGCGCAGGCCTACCTGGTCGAACGAGATGCGATGTTTCGTCTTCGCGCCAAAGGGAGACGACTACGCGTCTGAGTATGGAAGAGAGAAGTCTGCGGGTCGCCTCGGGATCTTCCATGCCGAACACGGTACCAACGGGGCATGGGGCCAGGGTAGTGGCGTGCCACCGCTGCTCTTCCTGCACCGCATCAGCAACCCGCGGCCGTACGTTGCAACTCTGAGAGACAAAGATTTCAACGAGTACGAAGCGGACCAGCCCCCGTTCGGGTTCCTGACCTGCGGGGAGGGAAATCCCAGCCAGAGCTTCCGATCCGGCGCGCCACACCTGCAGCTCGACATGCCCGACCTCGGGTATCGTTTCGACGCGTGGGACTCGGACTCGGAGTCGCTTGAGCAGCCTTTGGATGAAGATGGCGCGATGAGCTACGTTGGATGGAGCAAGCCCTGGACAGGCGAGATCACGTACCGCGTCAGGGCTGGGTCTAAGGAGGCATCCATGACTTGGGAGAAAGAGATTTGGGACCATGAGGAGAGATGGGGAGTCAGGCTAGAGCTGGAACCTGACAGCCGCGCCTTGAACGGGAAGAACACTCTGGGAAAAGACGGGTTATCGAGCTATGCAGTTCGGGCGACGCTGCTGGAAGTATACGTCAAGCCAGACTTCATTGTATCAGCTACCTTCTGATAACTCAAGTGTAGAACACATGTTGCGTGGTATTTACACGCACTAAGGACATCCGCTTGCTAGTCCTCACGAACGTGATGGCAGGTTCCGCGAAGAGGGCGAGAGTTGTAGAAAGTATCTTGTATTACGTATGTGGCTTTGGTAGCGACATGCGCACGACAGTATGTGCGTATAAAGAGGGTAGACTGGTCAGGGAATCCAGCGACAGTCGTGCCAGCCTACATGCAGGCTTATGAGAGGTTGGCAGCGTTGGCATGGGCGCCTTAGACGCCCGGAGCATTGCCGGAGCAATTATCTGCGCGAGCTCGTACGTCGCAATGCTCACCTTCAGCTTGAGTCTATGACGTCGTTGGTTTTTCTGCCGATACTGACACTACACTGCTGCAACGAAGGGCATCACATGCGGTCATCTTTCAGGCCACCCGGTTCCTCCGCCTAACCCACACAATTAGCCTCGAGTGACCTCGGCGACCCATCTCTGGCACTTGCGACAACACTCTGGAACAGTCGCTATCATCATGGACGTGATCTCCCTGACGACATGTACCAGACCACATGCATCTCTGTCAGACTGCTCTCACACTGTTACGCAACATGAGAACACGTACTCTGGTCTGCGAACAGCCCTGCAGTCCAGGCAATGGTCTACGTCATTACGTGACCACTACTTAAGATCCAACACGAACGCCCCGACCCTGTTTGCTGTCCGCCTGCGTCGACGAGGAGATTGAGGGGAAGGTGAGTGTCAGCCTCTCAATTGCATTCGACATCCCTTTTCGTGCGTTGCTCACTGCATACTCGCATTGTTGCCGACGGTCTAGACGACAATCTCACCTGTGGCCTTCTCATGCTCTCAATGAATTACCACCGGGACGTCTGGAGTCTTCGAGAATAGCGCGCGCCTGAGGCAGAAGGTGCCGTCATATAACGTTTCGTGCGATGCCTCATCCTTACTTACGTCCGCTTTGCTTGCGCTAAGCATCGAGCCAGACCAGTCCTGGACCGATCCCAGCAGAGTTGCCGGACACATCTGGGTGATTGTACGCCCGTATGTGACGTACGCCAGTCCGGAGCACAGAAAGTCAAAAGCCTCAGCCTGTGGTTGTGCATACACTCTACGTCGTCATACGACGTAGCTCGTATGCAGAAGCATCCGTCGAGGCTCAGCCTTCGTGCTCCTTCTCGACACACGAACTCGCGCCGCCGTACCGTTCACGACCATCTCGCGCGTCATGATCGCCCCATCGACGACCCTGCTGCAGCCTAAGACGCACTCCTACCAAAAAAGGTCGGACGTCGACCCGACATCCGGAGCCGCTCCTCGCGCCTCCCCTATACCTCTCATAACCATATGCACACACTCCCGGCCCAGCCCGCCGTTTTCGCAGGCCTCCGTAAGCCTGAGGTCCATAAGCCTAAGGCCCAGATTCGCAGCTAGCGGTCCAATCACCCTCCTCGTGCCCTATCGTCAACCCTCCCTGAGCTTCGCATGCGACCCTCTTGACCAGCTGCTCTCACCGTCTGCATCCGTGGGATCGCCCTCGGTCTCGCCAGAGCAATCGATGCACCATCGCCAGTCCAGACCGCATGCTAGGCCCTCGCCCTCACTGCCTCTGCTATCTTCGTGCTGTACCCTTTCTCGTGGCCAGGGCCGCGCCCCTACTGCACGCGACGAGGGTGCTGCGCGGGATGACCAATCACAGCGCGCGTTTCCATATAGAGACGGCGAAGAGCAATGGGGTGTCGAGGCGTTCTCGCTCAGCAAAGCTCAATCAGCGACCTTCGATAGATCTCAGCAGTCTCGGTCCATTCATTCCCGACGTCATTTTCGACGCGTTTTCTGGCCTCATGTGCGTCGACCCATGCTTTCCCCGGACATCGCTCGATTCAAAGCGCCGTTCTCGCACCGGCGTGACCCTCGCTGCTTTGACGACCCAGGTCTAGTGCTCGCGCAGATCGTTCTCGCGCCCTGATATGGATAATCTCATACCGAATCTGGACGCCTTGCGGAGACCGTACGCACTCGCACGTTCGCACTGATTGCTACAGATTGCTCAGCGGGGTCACGGTAATGATGCTAGGTGAGCAATATATTACTTTAACGAAGTGTATGTACACGGAAAACAGATCGCGTGTACACAGCTCATCAAGATTTTCTTGGCAGTGCGAGCTCGACACGCCCTGTGTTATGCTGCAGCTAGGTTGGACGCGGGGATATTGCAGCGCACCAGCCACCCACCCACGTCCTCTGACCTCCCCGCATCAACTTTTGGTGGCTCACTCTACGGAGCTGCTTACCTAGTGTCATCGTCCCACCAGGTTCCCACCCCTCGGGAGAAGTAGAGATTGGTGAGCAAGCTTCTGCGAGATTGGGGCGGCACGCTTCCTGCACGTCGCAGCACCCGTCGATGACGCGCGGGGCCCTGGTGTGCACTAGTGCCCGAGCGTCCGCAGTACTGGCGCAAGACGTATGCGGCCACGAAGGTCACTGGCCACTGGTTCGCGTCATCGCACCCGTCAGCTGGTCGTCGCCCATTAATCAGCGATGCGTGATGCGTGCGTCGTGGTTTGCTCTCATCGTGGTGGCCCTTCCTGTCCGCGCGCCCTTGCTGTGTCGCGGCCCAGGCCAGAAGCTTTGTCCGGTGCTAAGCCCAAGTTCCATCTCGCGCAGGTGGCCGACGCCCAGGCCCCGGAGAGCGCCTACATTATTCCTCGCCGCGGCCTCGTGCATGCTCACGTCTAGACACATCCGCACCGCGCGATCAGGCGACGCGTTTCTCCGATATTCATGGTCGTAGCTGACTGGCTCCGCTGTGCTGCGGTGTGCCCAGACCCGCTGACGGCCGTTGTTAGATGCGAACAAGGTTTTACGACGAGAGGGCGAGGCTCCAGCCTTTGCTGATGCATCCGTTCGGGCGCTATCTCCAGGAACGAGTAGCGTTCGTGTGCAGACGCTTCGACAACATTCGGCATTCAATTCTCAAATTTCAGGACGCTGTGGAGCAGCGCGTAGCATCCTTTCCCTCGGCTCGGCAACATTTGCGGAACGGCTCCATATCTCCTGTGGAGCGTCCGCATCTCTGCTAACCCAGATGCACCCACTGGATCTCGCCGGAGACTTCGCGCTCAGGTGATGAGTCTCATACAAATTTGCTCCGCGAACCTCCGCACCAGGCCTGGACGGGCTCAGCGGTTTCTGGTTTCGACGAGGCGAGGGTCGCCGTCGCCCGTCCCTCGGAGCGCTTTCATTGAAGAACCTCTGAAGTGGCATCCCTACGAATATGCTTCTGTCAAGGAAGTTGTAGGAGGGTCAGGCAAGGGGCCAGACCGTCCATGCTGTCTATTGTGTGCTGGTCGCTATGCTCTAGGCTCGCGTTACCCATTTAGTCGCGACTAAATGAAAATTGAATATACAAACCAAAATATACTCTGCTCGTGCTATTGCTGGCCACCGCTGCTCCAAAAACTCAAAGTACTGCGCACCCCGCGCCGCAGCAGACTGCCCAAATGCGTGTGCAGGCGTAGTGGAGCACCCGAGAAGCAGCGCCCGCCCGACCACCGGGTCGGCGCGAGCGCCCCGCCGCGCGCCCTTGATCCGATCGGAAGTTGGCAACCCCACCCCGCAAAGATCACAATCGCATCGGGCGGCTTCTCCCGCTAGGGTTACCCGCGGTCGGTTGCTATAACCCCTTGGTCGCGGCAAATGATCAGCCAGGCAAGTGTGCATCCGCAGGCCAAGGCAGGCCAGCAGTGTGGGGCTGGCGACCGACTCCGTCGGCATGGGCACAACCCACCTGCCGTGAGGTCGCGCGTCCAAATGTGTGACTACCGCGTCCTGTTCCCAAAATGCCTGCGTCTTCTGCGCTATCTGCACTTTCCGCCGATACATTTACTTATCGCACCCCTGGTGCTCTCGCTAGAACAAATCTCGCGTTTCCTCCGTTCGCATGTGCCTGTGCCGACAACGCTTAGCGTGCACGCTGGTGCACGCCACCACGTGGCGACAGGGCCGCCTCGTCTGTGCTGTGGCTCAACCCACCCCCGGAGCGTGTTCCAGCAGGACAAAAAAAAACAGAGAAAAAACCAGACGATTGCAAAAATAAAAATACAATACGCGCGACGCGTCGCACCGATCCGCACCGCGAGCTCGCTTCGACAGCTTCTCCGCGCCCTGCGGGCTGCCTGCGAGCTGCCGTTGCGCGCTGGGTCTTCTCCCGCGTGGGTCCGCCCAGGGTCACGCGCGCTGTGCCAAGTGCGAGAGAACCCAAGCATCACCCGAACGGCGGCGCGCGCGGGCGGAAAAACCTGGCGCAGCATCGCAGGCGCGTCCTGAATATCCAAACCCTTCCATCCTTCTCTTCGCTTCCGCATTCCTTTTTTTGTACCCCTGCGTGCAGCGTGGGCTCATAGATGCATAGATATTTGTCTGCGCGCGCACGGAAATTGAGGTACGGCGCCCAGGGGCGGATGGACGGACGGATAGATGGACGGACGGCGTCGAGGGGTAGCGTGCACTGCCTGAGCTGTGCCGATCCGTCTGCGAGCGAAATGAAAAATCTGACAACAACTGGCGGCGGACATTGCTAGCAGCGAGGTGAGGCGAGTGCAGAGCTGTGTCTAACGGGCTCTGTAGGGGGATCGCAGCGTGCCCGCTCGCGTGTGCGTTCCGCCTCAACCAGATGTGTATGTGCCCAGATAGAGTATGGCACGATACCGTATACCACGACTGGGGACGTGCGCGGATCCCATCGAATCAGCTGCGTCTGTGGTGGGCAGAGTTAAGCTCCGCGTATGCTTTGAGGAAGACGCCTTGGAATTTGCATACACAGGTATAACGTACAGCTGGACACGAAGATTCGCGTGATGCCGTAAGGCGGCGTGAAGGTTCGCGAGAGCCTTGGCTGAGAGCGTCGCGAGCGAGAGGGGCCTGTCGGCGCTCGGTGCGTGTTTGTGCTGCAGCGCGCGGGAGCCTGCAGACGAGGATGTGAGGCAGCGAAGCTACTGCTGCGAGTGCGCTTCGCAGTGCCACAGCCAAGGGTCTTTTAGGCCTCAGGGCACGGAGGCTAGCATTTCCTATAGCGGCGACTCTAAGTTCCCGACGATACCGTAGAATGCACATGTTTTCCCACCCTTGACAAACACACTCCGACGGTTCCCAGTTGCTGCATCACTTCCGCGGACAACATGCGTCCTGCGCAGCACACAGCCCACGAACACGTTCGCTCCACAGCATGAGCAAGATTCGGCGTCTCAAACGCAGGTGAGTGAGATTACTCTCAAGTTACTACAGTACGTCTCTACACTACAGCCAAGCATCGGTCCGTGTAATAATAATGCAAAGCCAATGTGTACAGAGTCCGACCGTCAGATGACTCCAGGACAGGTGGAGAAGATCTCGTGCTGTCCGAAGAGGTTGGGGTGTTAGGGACGTCAAAGAAGAGATGCCTCCCGGCATATGTAAAGGGAGGACGATATGAAGAAGACTTGATAGAGGAACGAGGGCACGAAGCCGAGGGGGGAACCGACTTGGGGGAATGACGAGCGGCGATGATGATGAGCAGCGTGGACAAATGGGGCGCGATGCAGCAGACGGAGAAAGCTCGTCATGAATGTGCACGAGAAAGGCAGGGGATGGAGATTGCCTGAAGTTAAGAGTGTACACCAAGCCCAAGAAAGCGTGTGCGCAGCGAAGAAGCCAGAAAAGACTATATATACACAGCCCGTGAGACAAGTGCCAAAAAGAGATGTATGGGAAGTGAGGAATTTGCTGCGATGAAACCAATGTGGATGCGACAGAAGCAGAAAACATTTTTCTAAGTGTGATATCCGTTGGTGCGAAGCACCGGTGTCGGTCGCGTCTGCGCAGATAGGAGGGGCTAGCGCGCGGGAGGCGAGCCGATCAAGGCATAGACTTGGTGCGACGACCAACAGGGGTGCGGGACACTCCTAAAACGGTCGCCAAGGGATGCCAGCAGGGCACGATAGCGCGCGAACGACCAGGTGACTGGCAGGCGTCGATGACGATGCTACGTGCGTCGTAGATGGCGCGTGCTATCGGAGAGGGAGGGGATGTTTGTGATGGGGCGTGGAAACACCCTCTTGCCCTTGCTATGACGTACAGCTCCGGCGCGAAGAGGTGGGCGTCGTTTGCATCACAAGGCGTTTTAGCTCATGTGCGACAATTGGACTCGAGATGGAAAGCGCCGCGGGGGCGGGATGTTAGGTAGCGATGGGACGCGAGCTGGGAGAGGTATGGGTGAGCTGGGGGAGACCGTAGGCGCCAGCGGGGGTCACACACCTCTTGCCCGTTGGCGACCCGAGCTTGACACCTGCAGCGGCGAACGAGGCTGGGATGGATGATGGATGTGCTGCATAGCGCGTGTTGTGCTGCGGCTGTGTGGGCGCGCTGCTGAGCACGGCGTGTCCGTTTTTGCGTACGCTGAACTCGTCCCCATCTATCCACATCTCCTGCGCGCTCCTGGGCGACGTCGATGGGGAAGTCATGAGCTTCTCGAGGAGAGGAGAGCCGATGAGGCGGGGTGGGATGGGCGGCTCCTCTGGGCGGACGTGGAGGCGGGTGTTGAGTGCAGAGGCGCGACGCGGGAGGACGGGTGGGGTGGGCATGGCGGGCGTCGAGAGGATTTGTGGGGAGGAAGACATGGGAGCACTGGGGTGTGTTATATGGAGAGGAACGGCGGAGGATGTGCTACAAGAAGGCGGATGAGCGATTGAGTGCGACCTTGTGGAGCCGGGTTGGCTGGCGGGGTTATATAACGAGGGAAGGGAGACATTAGGAGAGGCCGTTTTGGGATAGAAGGCAATCGGGAGATCTCATGGGTTAGCCGATCCTGCCCCGTCGTGCCCGATCCGATCTTGTCCTACTGCTCTTTACGCCCGACAATTGAGACGAACGCTCGCACCGCAATCCCAGGAGACAGCCCACCCAAGCAGAGATCTTCTCCCTGTCACACAAATGCCGCTTCCAGTTATCCCGCTGCTGCCCTCATCCTGCCAGCCAATCAGCTGCGAAACCGCACTCTTCCGCTGCCCACTCAGCCGGCCTCCAACTGGTCTCCTCGTAACAAGACCGCCGTCGGCTAACAGTGCCTTGTCTGCGCGCTGGGACCCTCGGTCGCTGTGGCGCCGAGTCCCGACGTCCGACCAGCAGGGGACGGCACGAACGTTCGAGTCAGCAACGTTTGGCCGGCGCCGTCGGCCTCCTTCGGCTGGACCTGTGCGAGCCGCTTGCTCAGATGCTTCCGCGGGGCGAGTCAGAGTCAGCTCTGTGATCGCGCCTTTCCAAGCTGAGACATCAATGCATCAGCCGCCGTTTTTCGTTTTGAGCGCTCGACAGAGAGGGTAGCGCCACAACGTCTACGAGCTCCACGTCGGCCTCCGCGCCCTCCATCAGTTTGTACACCCCGCCATACAGACGAGTGAGATCTTTTTCCCAGAGCAACCCGAGGCGTGCATCTCCTTGTGCGTGGGACGGGCCTCGAGCGCAAGGAAACCCGCTCTACACCCCGGCTTCCTTTCCTCCCATGTTTGGCAGGCGTCGGTTTTAGGCCAAGGGTGCGATTGCCATCCGGTACGACCGTTCCTGTCTCCGTTGGCGTCTCGATTTGTCTGTCAGATTTCTGCGGCGCCTGCACACGCTGTCACGCGTGCAGCGCAGCACTCGTTGATGAGCCTGTCACCGCTTAGCTCGAGGGGCCTTCCCTCCTGAGCTTGCGTCTCAATGAAACGAACCACGCCGCCTCTTTGCATCCGAGCTCTAGACTGCCCTTGTATCTGCACCTTGCCAACGACGGCGTGGTCTACACGCTCTTGCACACCGCTCAGCTGGCGATAAGGAAGAACCATGAAGTGAAGCGTCGCGAGGGCCCCGCCTGTCACACCCCAGTCACGTCTCCTGCGCCTTGCTGCTTCTGAGTGCCTGCCAGCAACCCCAGGCTTCCAGCTTCGAACTACAAGCGGCGCCTTCTTCCAGCCTTCACACGTATGGCACTCAATCGGCGGCCGCCTGCCTGCGATGATTCCATCTCGCTCCCAGTAGTCTCTTTGCCTCCCCAAGCCACCAGTTCCCCACCGTCCAGCTGTCCACAGCCTGTTCTCACCCCTGGGGTGCAAACTTACTCGACTCTCGGAGCGCATCGGGTTCGAGCCTCCCACGGCGCGTGCGCACGCCGTCCGAGAAGCCAAAGTGCTAATTACCCCGGCAGCCGCGCGCCCCTGCGTCCGATCGCCCGCTGCTATCCGCCCAGGACCGTCTCATCGGCCTGCTGCGCCTTTCGGTGTTATGAAGCCGCCAGCGGCGCCAGCAGTAGTGCCCTCTGCGTCTGCCAGCACTTGCATCCCGCCGTGCCGAGACCGTCTCGGACGTCGAATTCGGAATTTTAGCAGTCTTACCATGCGCGACCTGGTCAAGGTATTCGGATTGCTCGCGGCGAACATCGTCCTTGCCTTGCCGTGCTCGCCCGCACCGTTGTGGCGTCCCGTGCCGCCGAGTCCGTAACGTACGAGGTGCTTACACGGTCGTCTCTGCTCCCGCACGTGGGCCGAGCACAATGGTTTCACCCTAGCCTCCGGCCCAGACGGAATATCGCCCCATTATCTGCACATTTTGGTTAGGTCCCGACGTTTCAGCTTCCACTCCCCCAGTTCCAGGCTGGGCAGACGCGGTCGCCCCCCGTCGCGCGCCGCATTCAGGTGAGACGGTGACCGTCTGATCGCTATACACTCCGGCCTGGTGCGCTTCCTCTCAGTGTTCCCGTCCCCCAGCTGACGTTACGGACGTCCGTCTGTACGATGCAGGCCCGGGCGGGGAGACGCGACTGGTTCCTGGCACGCTCCTGCCCATCATGCCCTCGCGCACAGCGACGCTCGGGGTTGCCAGGTGCGGAAGGGCACAGGAGATGTGTTCGCGTCGCGACGAGGGGCCTGTCTAGTATTGATGGCATTGATGGCATTGATAGAGCATCATGCATCTCGTTCAACAAGAGACGGGCTGTCTCAGATGTCGCTAGCACCAACCAAGCCTCGACTCGGCGAAACAGACACTGTCCCCTCCGAAGCGCAACAGCGCACAGACGCGTCCCCTTTGACTCAGACGGCCGTCGGTGCGTGAGCTTACTGTTGTGCGTGTCGCTGACCGAACTCACTGTTTTGCGAAGCAGGTCTGGTGAGACCGGGGACTGGTCATGCGACCGGTTTGTAAGAAGCCCGGCGCGATAGAACCTGCCCTCGGTGTTTCTGGTGCGCATACAGTCGGCAGGCTATAGCGGCATTTCATCTCATCCCTATTCGTGCAACAGCGCGTTCGGCGTGCAGTGGACTCGGGTGACGATGGCTTCGTCAGACATTAGCCTCCTGACTTTGGCCCTTCAAGAGAACAAGAAAAGGCCGATACACGTTGTGGACGCCACGAAAAACGTCTCTTTGGATGCCTTACACGGCACGTTCCCGAGTGAACATCAAGTTTACGGCGTGGCCTGATATCTGATCCATCTCTGGCGCTACGGCCGCGTATTCAGCTACGGACTTTACTCTCGCCCCCGACGTACTCCAATGCCCTCCGCGCAGAGGAACCATCAGCACCCTGCTCAAATTGCGACTGCAAATCAAACGCGAAGCTGTGCACTTTCCCGCGTCTCTCTATACAATATCTAATCTCATCCACATCACTCGTCTGTTACTGGCCAGAAGCGCATCACCCCCCAGCTATCGGTTCACATTTCCTCGTTGCATTGACAAATTCCTTGCACGACGGAAGGTTAGGCGTCACATGCGCTCGTCAAAAGTCCGGTTTCACATCCGAGGGTTCCTCACACTTGACGACCAGGGTCGACTTTGCCACCAGCGTCCAAAAAAGCGGTGAGCACAACCTTAAGCAATCAATTCTCCCGCTGTAACCTCTAATGGTGCCTCGATGTCCGCTTTTCAATAGGTGCAAATACGCCTCAGCGAATTGCGCTTCGCATCTATTCGCTCTGGGCACGGTCTCCCCACCCGTTCCCAGCTTCCCGCACACCCTCGCAGATAGTGCTTCAAATCTTGCACAGCGCGGACGCTTTCTTCCCGTCCCGAAATACCACTATCGCAGGCACGCCATGGCCACACCGTCAATCCGCGCTGCACCGCACGATTCACTTTGCCTGCGGAAAGGTCGAGACCGCGGCATCGCCACGGGAGCCGTGCGGCCAGCCTCGAGAAGGGCCACCCCTTTTCTGCAGCAGTCCCAGCTCTGTGCGCGCACCGCAATCATCGCCGTCCACGCGGCGCCACGCCCATCCCAAGGTGTCTGTCGCCGCCCTCGGTATCGCCGCTCCCCGGGGGGCCTAGACCGCCGTCTGAGACTCTATGCCCTGTCGCACCGCGCACGCACGCGCCTCTTCTTCCAGCCCAGCTCAGAAGAACGTTCGTCTTCCTGCAGGTCGTCCCCCCCGGTAACGCCGCCGCTGTTGGCGGGGCCCAGACCCTCCAAGACCCTCGCGCTACTGCAAAAGCCATGCCTCGCAGCACCCACGCGTGCGCGCCACAGACAGCCACAAAGCCCCCGCGACCGCCGCCACACGCCCACCCGAGCGGCCTTTCTGCACCAGCGCAAGGTGCGCGCTGGCCCCGCCGCGGTCCCGCGCGGCGAAACCTGGAGGAAGGGGAGGAGGAGGAGGAGGGGACGTCTGGGCCCCCAGGAGAGCTCGAGAGAGGCCTGACTCGGATGCTGTACGTGTGCCCCCGCACAATGCCCGTTTGCGTCCTGCGCCGGCGACGCGGGCGTGCTCGCACGATCGTGTGCAGGGGCGCGATCGTGCACTGCCCCCGAGAGCGCGCCCGATCCCCGCGTCTGATTGTCCCCCTGCCGCGAGCGGGATAGATAGTCGGGTTTTCCTGAACTTTGATCGTGCTTTCGGGACTGTGTTCCATCGGATTTGCAAAGACGACGGCTGCGGCTCGCTGCGCATGTGAGTTCTGTCCTTTCGACTACAGGCTGCTCCTAGGACTGACTGACATGCATGTCCTGTAGTTGGTTTGCTTCACAGCCTCCCAGGACGGCAAGCAGCGGGCCCGCAGCTCGATCGGACGTCCTAGGCCAAACCTTATAGACGAGATTTCCAACCGTGGTAGCGCATTTCGCAGCCGCAGCACGCTTCTTTACCTCTTTCGCGTCCCGACGGTCGAGACTCGAGGGCGTCTCTCCGCGCAAACGCGAAGGTTCACGTTGGCATTTGATTCGCCACTCCTAGCTGGCATGGCTGCAGTTCACTGGCAGCTATCGCAGCTGCAGGCTGCTGAGCGCTGAGCCCTGCCATTATCGCTGCGCGATCGTTCCTCCTGAACCTTTAAGCGAGGCCCGACTTCGCGCCTTCTGCCGTGCCTCCTCCTGAGACGAAGCCGCGCGCCACCGATCGCGCCGCTTGCGCATGTGCCCCCGCTTTGCGCCGTCTGTGCCAGGAATGGGCAAGCTCGCTCGGTTCCTGATCGTCAGCCACGCTTCCGCAGACGGGCGGGGATGTGATCTGGAGGTGGAGCGGATGACCTTGTGGTACGCTGGGGCTCGGTTGGCCCTAGGGAAATGAATGGAGAGGCATGGGCGCGGGACGCGGTCGCGTGTGCGCTCGGACGGAGGTTTCGCGTTCGTGTTCCCGGACCTTGATGAGCAGGTGCGCACGCTGGGGGTTACGTCGGGTCGGAGAGGCTGCTTTCGGGCTGCTGCAGGCCCCGGTCCAGTTTGCAATGCCGAACGCACGTCGGTGTTTTCTTTTTGTCCTGCGTTTCTGATACTCACGCTACTCGCCTGATCCGTCCAGGATGCCCTGTTGTGTCGAACATGCGAGGTACCCGACAGTCGTTGTTGTCTTGCTACGCGTCGGGTCCGACCATCAGCGGAGGATGTCCTCAGCTAGTGTTCCGCGGACCCCCGCAGCCCTCGACAACTTCGAGATCACGCCGGCCACATGCTTATCCAGTTGGACAGTGCAATTGTGATGCGTCGCGGTCAGCCTCTCGAAATATGAGCCCCCTATGTCCGCCGTATCCAATGGCAACATCGCGACCTGACCCTGGCAGCCGCGCTTCTGTCAGCCCCGACTGTAATGACGCCCGACAGCCCTCCATCTGATCTCCCCTTCGTCACTTCCGTCATTGACCAACTGACCCTGGTGGTCCTCCGAAGTCGGTCTGCGAGCTGTCGCGTCGGTCGTTACTCCTGTCCCAGGCGCGTCGCGTTTTCAGATCCACGTCCTGGACGACGGCTTTCCCCACACACAACTCTGACGTCAGATCGCAAAGTCTGATATGCATACGCGCTTTGGACACTGGACGCGGACCTGGGGTAGATCACTCGTCCCGGTGCTGCTCCTCGCGTGCGTGCAGTGTGCACCCCCGCCCGCCCCCGCGCCCGACCGGTTCGGAGTGCAGTATTGGTCTGGACATGACGACGGTGGCGAAGAAGCCCTGTGGCACGTCGGGGGTCATGTGCTCGACCGCAGGCAGGAACAAGAGCAGGCCGTCGTGACACAGACGGTCTTCTCGACCCTGGTGCAGACGGAGATCGCGACGACGTACACGACTGTCACTCCTTCAGGTTCAGATACGCCACTTCCTGTTGCAAGTACCGCTGCTTCGCCGTCGTCGGATGCAGCCACGCCGGCCGCGAGTACTGGGTCTTCTGTTTCACCCTCATTTTCGACGAGCAGTGGTCCCATGGCTAGTTCCACCAACATTGCTGTTCCTTCTATACCTGTGGCGCCGACAGACCCTAACACCTCCTCAGGAAGCACCGGTACTGCTGCTGTGCAGCCTTCCCCCACTGGTGCTCAACCTGTACTGTTCATGCCCCCAACTCAACCCCAACCTACAGATCTGCCAACCTCTCTCGTGCTTCCTTCTCAACCTCAGCCCACCAATCCAGCTTCTGCCTTGGTTCCATCCGTTCAGCCCCAACCTAGCGATATCACCTCGTCCCTTCTTCCTCCTTCTGATGCTGAGGGCTCTCACTCTTCTTCGCCTCCAGCACCAGCACCAGCCCGCCCGACGTCCCAACCCGCGCAGCAACAACCTATGCAAAGCAAGCCGCTCGTCATGGCCTACTACCCCTCGTACACGTCTTCTGTCTTTCCTCCCGAGAAGATGGACTTCGATCGGTACGACTGGGTAGACTTCGCGTTCGCCGTTCCCCAGGAGGACTTCAGCCTGGGCTGGGACGGCTCAGACGACGCGTCAGACCTGCTCAAGCGCCTCGTGGCGAACGCGCACGCGAAGGGGAAGAAGGTCAAGGTCAGCATCGGAGGCTGGACCGGCAGCAAGTACTTCTCGAATGCGGTGTCGACTCCGCAGAACAGGCAGACGTTTGTGGGCAACATCTTGCAGTTGTACAGTCAGTACGGTATCGACGGCATCGACATCGACTGGGAGTATCCTGGCCAGCCCGGAAACGACGGAAATATCTACATGTCTCAGGACCCGGCAAACTATCTCAGCTTTCTGCAGCTCTTGAGGGAAACGCTGCCGCCCCAGGCAAAAATCAGCGCGGCGACCATGACTGTGCCATGGACGGATGCAAATGGTGAAACCATGAAAGACGTGTCTGCCTTTGCTCAGGTCCTCGACTGGATCTTGATCATGAACTACGATACCTGGGGATGTACGTCGGGCCCTTTTCACAAATATCATTCAAAAAACACGTACTCACCCTTTTCAGCGTCGAGCAACCCAGGACCGAACGCTCCGCTGAGTAATGCGTGCCACAACTCGACGCAGAGCTCGTCGAGCGCCGTCGCAGGCGTCGCGACGTGGACGGCCGCCGGCTTCCCCGCTAACAAGATTGTCCTCGGCGTCCCGTCGTACGGGTATATCTCCAGCTCCTCCGCGAACTACCTCCAGACCCGTGCTGTTCCGCTCGGGCACTCGCACGCCCGACGGTCGTCTCTGGCGAACAAGAGACACGTCCCGATGCACCTCGACGGAACCGCCGGCAGCGCGCTCGGCGAGATGGGAATACCGGACACGCTCCTGCATTCAAGCGGCGGCAACGCGGCGAAGGCTGGCGCTCCGATGGTTCTGAACGAGGACGGCAACGCTGCGGACGGAGAGGTACAGTTCCGCGATCTGGTCCAGCAAGGCGTCCTGCAGTACATCTCGGCATGGAGCGACACATCTGCGAGCGCAAAGACAGACGCTGCTGAATACGACCGTGCAACCGGCGACGACTCGGGCGACGACACTGGGAGCTCTGATACCGACGATGACTCTGACGGCTCCGACAGCTCTGACACCGGTCCTGATGACGGCTCCTCCGACAGCTCTGGCGACACCGGCGACCAAGGAGTCCTACCTGCAGGCTTGGCTCTTCCCGGACTGACGGACATCGATTCCACGACGCTGAACGCTCTGTCTTTCGCCGGACACCAGATCGTCAACGTCTTCAACGGGCTGAAAGGCTTTGTGCGGCTCTGGGACGCGTGTTCAAGCACGCCCTACCTACGTTCGACGGCCGCCGGGCAGGTCGTGTCGTACGATGACCCGCAAAGCCTCGAGATGAAGGCGGTGTTCGCGCGGTATGCTGGCTTGCTCGGGGTGAACATGTTCGACGCGCATGGTGATACCGATGCTGGCGACTTGGTGGACGCCGTAAGGCGGGGGCTGGGCTTGTAATTTCTGTACCGCGCTGGCCGAATATAAGTGATTGGTAGATGCTATTTTCTCCTCTAACGCGACCATATTAACCATATCAGGATTGGACGAGCAAGTTCGATAGAGCGTGGCAACCTCAGAATGTTTTGACTCAATAGCAGCTCGAGAGAGCGTACCAGGAACATCGCGGCTGTGACAAGTCGGATACTGTTGGTGTTGGATCGCACCATAAATGTTTACTCGGCGTTGCCAGTAGAACAAGCAGCTTATTGACTTCCATATCCTGAAACAGAAGGTAAGTCATTGCCTAACGCTCCGAGCACGTATATTGATTATGGGCAAGTCACAGTCTCGTGCCATGTATTAGGTTCAGAATCCTGAGATTCTCTCGCCTCGTGCCTTGCCATTTCGGATATATGTCTAAGCGGCACGATGCATGCTAACTTTTCTCTCTACTCCCCGGTGGTACCAGAGGTTGCTCAGGGCGGCAACGGTCGTGTGTTCTTTGAGTTGATTACAGGCACCTCAGACGCCGTTCTATGTCATCTGAAAGTCCATCCGAAATTTCTGAACTATCTATCAGCGATACCGAGTCTTTTACGAGCATACACAAGATGGCATCCCCCACATCGTCCACACCGGAAAGCCTGGGTGTGGCACCTCCTCTGACTACAGCGACAGATACTAGCTCTGCGTCTTCCAGCGAACAGTATCCTTCCAGTGAATGCACGCATCCCAAATACTATTTTGACGACGGTTCAACCGTGTTTCTGGTGCGCGATATCTGTACCCTCGCGCGATTGCCGTCTGACCTATACCTAGGTCGAAGGGATTAGCTTTCGCCTTCATCGGTATCTTTTTTCCAGAGACTCATCCTACTTCGCGAATATTTTCACGCATCACTCGTCGCCTGAATCTCTCAACCTGGTTGACAAGAAATCCTCCGACTTTGACGCTTTCCTGTCCGTACTGTACTCGACGTATGTATCACATCTGGTCTTACCACTATTGCCACCTCATGGATCGCTTAGGTGCTATCGTTCGCCTGATATTACCTCTGTGGATGAGTGGTCGGCTGTTCTTCGCCTTGCCACCGAATGGTCCTTCGACAGTATTCGAAACCTCGCGATGGAACGCTTAGAGCCGCTCGCCAGCCCCATAGAGAAGATTGTTCTGAGCCATACACACTCGATTCCCAACTGGCTCCCAGCAGCATATGTTTCGCTGTGTCAGCGTTCCCACCCACTTACGGCTGCGGAGATCAGAGCAATCCAGGCCGAGGATATCGAACTGATCATGTCAGTCCGAGAGACCATGCTCCGCGCAGGGCTACCGCTAGAGGCGAACGAGATTTCTGCCCGCGTCGCCGATGCCATGAAATATACCCCAGAGATGGTGGCTTCCACAACTCCGGACCCTATCCCAGAGGTCATGAATGCGGTGGATCCAGCGTTATCCGAGCCTGCCATTGAGGTTGCGAAGATGCAGGAGCCGTCTTCCGACACCAGTCTTCGCCTCGATACTACCACTTTTCTTTCTCTTGTCTCTGCCGACAACGTCCAAGACGTCGCCAGCAATATATCGGCACAAATCCCACGCTCGATAGTTCGCACAAAAGTTACAGCCCTTCTCGACGAGCTAACGTTAGCCGACATCGGCTACATCGCACATAGAATATCTCAGTGGGCCAACCTTGCCAAGGGCGAGAGCGACTGTGCCACCCTTGTGCAGGTCCTTGACCTAGTATACGATAAGGCAATAAGCGACTCGTTGTTCGCTCGAGCGTGCGCTCTGTTGTACCAACAGCTTATGCACAATGTCTCGGCCAAGATTCAGCTCAGGGACCGTAACGGGTTCGCCCTCGAAGGAGGGCTACTCTTCCACAAATGTCTTCTCGACAAATGCCGAGCGGAAATCGAGAATATTCGCTTGAAGACGACTTTGGTGGTCCCCGGCTCAGGTTTAGAGACACCGAGAGGTACGTGACTGGCTAGTCCCCGATACATATGGATCGGCCGCTGAACTTAGGTATAACAGAGGTACCCGGGGAAGATGGAAAAGACTTATTCACTGCTACATATGAACATGAATGCGCCCTAGTCCACTTTATCGGCGAGCTCGCGGTGGCACACGTGCTGAGCATGCCCATTGCCCTTGACTATTTCAGCAGATTGGTTCCTGACAACAAAGACGCAGCTCTCCCTGAGCAGCAGATTCGACTTCTCTGCGTATTCTTGTCAACGGCTGGGCAGGCTCTTCGCCAAGGCAGTGTGAAGATGCGAACGCGCTTGAGTCGGTACACTTCGCTCATTGAGGGTGTCGACATTTCAAAAGTTGGCACGCGGACGGCTACAATGATACAGGTGTGTTGCTTTCGTTCGTGTTGAGCACATCGTATGGCTTACCACTTTCCTATCAGGAGCTCATGCAGCGCGAAGGCAAGTCTGCGAGGGCTTGAGTCCGATATGGTGTAAAGTGTGCCCACATAAGTACCACTGTATTACTGAGCTCTGAGTTGAGGCAATGGATTGAAGGCAGCGTTCATCTCGGCTAGAGAGCATGCCGCTAGTCGTCTTGCTCATTAAGTTTGGCATCGCTGGGGACGGCACAAAAGAGGTAAATAATATCCCAGGAGAGGCAAGGACGAGCCTCCAACTGCACTTCACGTATGAACACTCGGCCGCATGAGTCTAGCTCATATTCACCACGAGATGCAGACTCGGAGACTGCCAAACTGGAGTCGAATAGGGGCTAAGGCTCCAACCGTTTTGTTTGTTTACTGTGTATAAACATTTATTACTGTTTACTGTTTCTGTGTGTGTAAATGAAGTCATGTAAACTTGGTGTAAATGTTTATACACAGTAAACATACAGTTTCCTCTTGTTGTTTGTAAAAGGTCTTAGTGTTGTACATTCATAGTCTTGCTAACAGACTTGACCTTTATTGGGCTGAAGAGTGCATCGCACCGCCTGTGCATCGTCCTCGGGCGGCCTCTTTGAACCCCCAAGCCCGGCGCACTGTATCAAGCACCTATGCCCTGAGACTTACTGGGAGTAATGGTAGTCATGATCCTAACTTGTATTGAGCACAGTCTGAAGGTGAGCATTATAAATATAATATAATGTGTATTTATTGACTGCTCCTCTACATATAGTCTACTGTGGGCACTGGCAGCCTGCCTGCGAGAGTGTGGTATGCAGGAATGTCGTGAGCCCATACTTCATTCAAGAGGAACAATATTAATATTAGTTCAACCTCATTGAGTGATGACAGTACCACATGCGATACTAAGGCAGATTGACTCTAAAAAAGGGCTATCAGAGGTCCGCACCCATGCGGCAGTCTTCTCTAGGCCAGCTCTCGAAGTCCTAGCGTGAGAGTATGTCGTTATTGTCGTGATACGACGACTGGGCTGTGCGAGCGTGAACTGGCGAGTGGCACGCGGGCACGATCTAATACACACGGGGGGATTAGTCTGAGTGCGAAGGGAAAGAGCACACTGTATAGATCTAACCTAATACACACGGGGGGATTAGCTATACAGGGCGTAAGCATAAGTGCATACTGCGCAAGAGTGACTAAGGGACTTACTCTGAGTGCAAAGGGAAAGAGCACGCAGAGTGGGGATGCGAGGAGAGTCCTTATATACCAAAAGGAAACCAAATTGAAAGTCCGCTAGAATGGGGAAGCCTGCCATAAAGAGGTCCGTGCGTGGGAGCACTACATATGATTGTCCAATCACTATCTACGTATTAGTAGCGCCTAATCTAAGATGTCCACCTTAAGTCCGTGCCGGGCGGAACACCGAGCCAGAGCCACTAGGCACTTCAACAGTCGTGTCACCTCCGAAGTGCCAGGCTAACACTCGCATAGGTTATCGGCCCACTTCTCAACAACGAGGTCAATGATAGGACATGCCAACCTTCTAAAGGCAGAACCACAAGCTTTCTACAAGCCCCACGGATACCTTCGTAGGTCTTACCCTTGCAGTACAGTGCTGCCTGGCAATACCACTCTCGCAGCTTGTGATTGCCAGTGTTTGTCCTCCCGCAACCTCCACTGGCCAATCGAGACTATTCGTGTGTCTGCAATCTGCGTACTATGCGTAGGGGACACTAGTGGGCCATAGGGATGACCATAGCATGATGCTTGAGGTATGGAGTGTTCAGATGCTGCCTGATGGTCGGTCCGTGCTCGGGATGTGATGCACGCATTGCTCCTTCCCTGTACGCATGAGTAGGTGCACTATCTATACACGTCCAAGTTGGGCCTAGTGTTTGGGACATCAATATTGTAAGTAGGAAGCTGCAGCTGTCAGAACTGGGCGATTACGTCATTGCCCTGTACAGACTAATGGGGATATCATCACATGATCCCTCTATTATCTTGTAGTAATATGACACCTGATTACTCATGCTTAGTATACATGCTTACGCTCACAGTACCATAGGTCTTATAGCAGTATCAGAGGTCCCGACTCACATGTATATATACTGGCCCTGTAGCACAGAATAAAGCAAGAGTTCGGTCACACTTTCACAGGTTATGAGCCCTGGCCTCATGGCCACTCTACCCCCACTCAACTAGCCTCATTGCTGAAGAAGACCCCTCGGGAAACCTCGGTCCCCTTCACCCAGTTTTAAACAAGTTTATCCACGCAGTTTACGAGTAAGTCTCGTTGCGTGCTAGTGGCAGACGGAGCGCTCACGCGTTCATTCCTGCGTAATTTCTAGTGCCAAAGGATTTGCCCGCTCATTCCCCTCACACCATTTTCCAGCAGTACAAGCACTCCACCGGCTACGTGCCTGCCTCTGGCAACGCCAACGACTCCGTCGAGACTGTCCCGTATGGTAAACACCGCGGCAAAGAACTAAGCCTGCCGACTCCAGCGCTCACTCTCCCGTTCCCTCTGAACTCACATGAAGGCAGGCGCTTACGTTGCGAACAGTTCCACGAGTGCTACGCAACCGACAAGGCCAACTTCGAGCAGCGTCTAGCTGCACGAGAAATCCAACTGGCACGCAAACGGATTCTCACCGGACCGTCTAAGCCGACACTTGAGCAGCGTCTCGCTGCCATTCCACCGGTGACACATACGCCAATCATCCCGAAGCCGATACTCATCGACTTCGACAAACACACTCTTGCCGACCTCGTCCGCATCTTCACTCCGAAGTTCGACGGCATGCTCAAACGCCTCGACGTCTTCGAGACACTCGAGCTCAACAACCTCAACTCCGACCGAGTCCGCAATCTCTGCCGACTCATCGAACAGCTCACGCGCATCAAGCGCTGCCTAGCGGACGTCTGCAACATTGTCAAATACGAGGAGTGGCGCAAGTGGAAATTAGGGTGCAGAGAAATAGGGGATATCTTGTTCAAAGGGCTACGCAAGAACAAAGCCCAGATTGTACAAGCACTTAGCGCAGTTTACATGAACAGATATTTTGATGCGGTCAGGTTTTACAAGAACAAGTAGATACTTTGTATACAATGCTATTGTAACAATCAGAGAAAAGTTCTACTCAGAAACCTGACTACTGTGTGTTTATACCTAAACGACAACAAGAGTCATGGTTTAACTGGTTCCTTCATCCAATCCCAACTCTATCCACCTCTCAGCTAAATTGGCTTAGCTGGGATAAGTGGTTCGCTCAACAGCATTCACAACAGTTACCTCTCAGGAGACAAATACGGTACCTAAAACCGTAGAGACAAAACAGGAAACCGTCGCGGAATTCAGACAGCAACTGAATATTGTCGTGGGCGTAGCCCCAGCCTCCTATTTTATTCCCATTTTCTCCGATTTATTTCACGTTTATATGACCCTCCAAACGTCGTCGGCGCATAGGCGCCAGTTTACAAGTCCTAGCCGAGCGCTAACACCTTGAGAACGCATCACCGACGGGCACGCATCAGCGCATCAGACGCGCCTGCATCGCCGCCGCCTCGTCACCGCATCACGCTTCCTCGGAAACAGCCGCACTCCGATCAGCAACAGACATCCGATCTCTGTCGGCCCGGCAACGTCATACAACATGACACACCGGCCCCCGGCTACCTCCGAGTCCGATCGGCAACGGACTTCTTATCTCCATCGGCCCGACAACGTCATATGGTATGACACACCGGCCCTCGTTTCCCCGCCTAAGTCCCCTAGACACTAGCAGTCGCCGTAGCACCAGTCGCTTATGTAAAGCCTGGTCCGTGCGCAGCCTGACTAGTATATAAGGCTACCCTTTGTCGCTACCTAGCCCCATCTCAACCTCTGGTTAATTGGGCTAGTAAGCCTTTACTTGTATCGTAGTACAAATTGCTAATACACTTG